TGGAGTTTGGTGTTATCTTATGAGGTACTAGGGGCTAAAACCAGAATAGCCTCATGCAAGGCAAGTGCCTTAACCCTTCTACTCTTTCTCCAGACCTCAGTTAATTAAAATAAAAAAGAAGAAGAACTGCAGGAGCTGAGAGAGAGTATAGGGGTTAAGGTCTTGCCTTGCATGAGGATGATTCAGGTTCAGTCCCCAGTAACCCCATATGATCTCCCAAATCCCACCAGGAGTGATCTCAGCTCAGAGCCAGGAATCAGCCCTGAGCCCGCCGGGCGTGGCCTCAAAACAAATAAACAATGTAAGAGGGAACTGGAACTGGCCCAGCCTCGTTTCTGCCACTTTCTGGCACTTAAAATAAAATAGGTGTTTCTCAATCTTTCTGAGCTTGTGCTTTTTTCTGTCTCCCAGGGTTCTGGTTGCCCCACCTCTGCTCCTACCTCTGCAAGTTTCACCTGTGGCCCCTTGAACTGTCCTGGGGTCCCAAAGGTTGCTGGCCCAGGGGCTTAGCCTGCCTCCAGGTGGAAGAGGTCACCGGTCAGCACAAGACAGTAGCTAGGGTGATGCTGCAGCCGGTGCTCACAGACGCAGGGGAGCATGGCACTGCAATCCAGTCTCATCTGATTCCCCTGCAATGCTGTGATGTGGGGATCAGCACCCCCACTTTATAGCTTTCGTGGACAACAGGGCTAGTTGGACCCTCAGGGGGGGGTCTGTCAGCCACATTGCTGCCCCCAAATTCATTTAGCCCGAGCCTCGGCAGGTGGGAACCCGGCATGCCATCAGGGGACAGAGAGAGCGCTAAAGGAGGAAGCCTGTCCTTGCTTTGTCATCGCTGGGGCACGCAGGGTGGCCTGGGGGTGCAGCGACCAGCTGCTGAGAGAAAAAAAGCAGTTTGCACCTGGAGACAAACCAGAGAGAGCCGAGGAGTCAAAGAGCAGAACAGAAAGAGAAAACAGACACGAATGCGAAGAGAGAGACTGAGAACCCCACAGGCTCCAACCTGGGCCCTGGGTCTCGAGGGAGGGGGTGGGGGCTCAGAGATTTGTATCTGCCTGACCCCGCTCCCGCCCAGGGCCTTGCCAGAGACCCCTAAGCGCGCCAGAAATGCCAACGCAGCGCCAGGCGGGGCTCCTGCAGTTCCCAAGGCCGCCATAAGGTGGCAGTATCCCAAAGCCCTCAACCCTCCAAAGGCTCAAATCTAAAAGAAGCCCCCGGGGACCAGTTTGGGTTTCAGTTATACAATGATCAAGTACCCATCCCTCCACCAGTGCCCATTTCCCACCACCACGGATCCCAGTATCCCTCCCACCTCCCATCCCCCCATCCCACCCTGCCTCTGTGGCAGGGCATTCCCTTTTGTTCTCTCTCTCTTATTGGGTGTTGTGGTTTGCAGAAGGAAAAAAAAAAAGAAGCCCCCCCCCCCCAGGGGACGGCCCCACCAGCCTCTGACTTTCAGGATGTCTCCCCCAGGGCTCCCCGCTTTTTCCTGCACCAGCCCCAGGCGACGAGTGACCTTTCCGGCTGAGACAACCTCTTGACTCCCCTTCACACCCTGCCCAGTTAAACAACCCTTTGTCCTTGGCCCCTTCCGGCTGGGCCCCAAGGCACCTGGGTCCTTTCCAAGCCCGGAGATGAGGCTGAGATGAAGGTGGAGTGGCTGGGACAAGGCCAAGGAAAAGTTTCAGGGACTGAGAATCTGTTCTTCTAATGACCTGGACAGAAAGAGGGTCCAGTCCCTCTTCCCTCAGACTCAGGGGTCCATCCACAGAGCACCTCTTCCCTCAGACCCAGCAGTCCCTCCTCTATTCCCTTCTCCCTCAGACTCTGGGTCTCTTCCCTGAAGTCACTTTCCCCAGCCCCTCTTCCCTCACCCAAGGGTCCTAACCCCAGCCCTTTCTCCCTCTGATTCAGGGGTCCATGCCCAGCCTCCTCCATCAGATCATCCCATCCTCTGCTAGATCCTTCCCTAACCCCTCCTCCCTCAGACCCGGGGATCCATGCCCAGCCCCTCCTCCCCTAGACCCAGGATCCATGCCCAAACCCTCCTCCCTTAGACTCAGGGGTCCATGCCCCGGACCCTTCTCCCTCTGACCCAGGGGTCCATCCCCAACATCTCCTCCTCAGACCTAGGGTCCCAACCCCAACCCTTCTGCCCTTTGATTCAGGGGTCCGTGCCCAACCTACTCCATCAGACCATCCCATCCTCTGCTAGATCTTCCCTAACCCCTCCTCTCTCACGCTCAGATGTTCATACCAATCCCTCCACCCTCAGACTCAGGGGTACATGCCCAGCCCCTCCTCCCTCAGACCCAGGGGCCCATCCCCAGGCCCTCCTCCCTCAGACCCAGAGATTCATGCTCAGCCTCCTCCCTCAGACCCTCCACCCTCTAACTTCTCTCTGACAGGGTCTCTCTCTTCCACTTCTTTGCCCTCTTGGACTGAGAGTATGGCTGAGTCACAGGAAGCTCTGGGCCCTGAGTCACGCCCCACTCCACCACCAGCTCCTCCCTGGGCTGGAGGCTGGCCGGGAGCCCTTGTGTGGTCCCTCCATCCCACCATAGACAGATGGAGCTTCAGTTCGGGGGGTGGGAGGGGGGAAAGGTTCCCTCCTGAGGCGACCCCATCGCTGCCCCTGTGCTCCCTCCCCACACATGCACCTCTTGGTTCTGATCTTGGTTCTCTAATTCTAGCCTTTAATTGTGGTCTCCTGGGGGCCACTTTCTCTCTGATCTAACTTCCCCGTCCTGAATCTATTCGGCTTTCCCTTCACCTGAGATTCTTCTCTCCCTGGCAAGATTGCAGAAACACTCACTGTCTCCTTCCTTCTCTCCCACTGTCCCCTTGGCCCTCTAGAATGTCCGACTTTCGTGTTATGGACACCTTCGTGTCTCCGTGTACCTGAGTGTGCTGAGCAGAGCTGAGCCAGAAGGAACAAAGGTGTGGAGAGCTGTGCCAGTGGACAGGAGAGAGAAACTGAGGCAAGCAGCTCTGGAGAGGCCCAGAGACAGAGACAGAGAGATTCCCTGGTCAGGGACAGAGAGACAGGAGCCACCACAAACTTGAGGATGCGGGAGGGTGGAGGACAGAGAGAGTGCTCAAAATGAACAAAACCAAGGATGCAAAGATGGAGGCAGGGTTGCTGAGACACAGAGAGGCTGAGAGAGAGAGAGAGAGAGAGAGAGAGAGAGAGAGAGAGAGAGAGAGAGAGAGAGAGAGAGAGAGAGGTGGGGAGGGCAGACAGGAGGGACAAGCACAAAGGAGAGAAAAACTGAGACAGTCAGACAGAGAGCCAAGTAAGGACAACCCCTGCAGAGGGTGAGGAAGCTCAGCAGCAGTGTCTCTGGGGGGGGAGCACAGAGTGGGGGTGCAGCGGGCTGGACTCCATCCCCCTCCCCAAATGGGGAAGTGTACTTTTGTCACTGAGCGTGTCTGCGCGTGCGCGTGTGGTCCGGTGGCCCTGGGTGTGTCTGTGTGGGCTGTGTGGGTGCGCTGCCAGACCAGACAGTGAGTGGCCCATTTCCCTGTGGCTGGCCGTTCTGATCCTGCCAGGCAAAGGGATCCTGCCAGGCCCAGGGCACAGGACATGTGGGAGGAGGTCCGGGGGATGTGCGCTCCCGCTGTGAGACTCCCCCCCCCCCCCCCCCCCGCCCCCAGTGGTGGCCTGAGACCTTCAGGAGGTCACTATGCCGCGCGCGTTCCCGCACATCCAACAGGCTCACTGGACATAGGCTGTGGTCCAGGGCCCAGAGGAGTGAATTCAGATCAGCATGCTCGCTGCTGCTCTCCCTTGGATGGGGGGGGCGTGGGTGCTGTGAGACAACTGGTCAGTGCTGGACGCCTAGGCAAGGCAGGAGGAAAGCAGAGGGTCTCACGGAGATAAGACGCCGCGTGGGGTTCCTTTGCCCTCTCCCGATCCCCAAGAGCGTGAGGTGCCCACGCTGCAGGCGGTGCTTGTGAGGGCCACGTGGGGCGTGGTAACGGAGTGGGCGTGGTCACCAGAGGGCGGGGCTGCTGGTGGGTGTGGTCGCGTGGGCGTGTCCAGCGAGTGGGCGGGTCCCACGGTGTGTGCCCCTCAGTCCTGCCTTGGAAAGTCCTATCTGTCGCTCTGCGTCCCATAAGTGCCTGGGACCTGGTGTGGGGGGGACAGTCTGTGAGTGGTGAAACAGTCTGGGGGACCTCATGAGCTTGAGTCTGTGTGTGTTTCTCTGGGTATTAGGGGTCTGTGTGTGTTTCTCTGGGTATTAGGTGGCTAAGTACTTCCAAGGGTACGTCCCTAGGTGCTGTGTGTGTGCAGAGCGTGTGCTGGGGCACCCTAAGTGCATAGGTCCACTGGCGGGGAGGGGTGAGGTAAGATATTGTGTCCTGGGGCACTTGGGCTAAGTTGTGTCTGGGAGGTTGTGGACGTAGGTCCCCAGGGGCACTGGCTCTGCTGAATTTATTTTATTTGTGTTGGGGGAACTGACTCCTGAGGGTGCCTGTGGGCTGGGGAGGGACACTGGATGTCTCTCCAGCCCTGGCTCCGTCTCTCTGACTTGTCTCCTATGGAGGGTCGCTTGCTCACAGTGCCGGCGTGTGTCACCGAGTGTGGTGTCGGGCGTGGCTGTGGCTGTGGGAGCCCTGCGGGCGGGCGTTGTGAGTCACTTGGTGTCAGTTGTGTGGTGTGACTGTGTGTGCCGGGGCCCGTTGCCGTGGGTCGGGGTGTATCCTCGTGTCTCGTGGTGTCTGGGTGTGGCTCCGGGGAGGCGTGACTTCCACGGCCAGGACCGTTGTGTGTCTGTGTGTGACTTTATCCACGTGGACGCACGCCTCTTCCTTGCTCTGGCCCAGACACACCCCAGCCCCTCCTTAGTCTGAGCAGGGGGGGCTCGGGAGCCTCCCCTCTGCCCAGGGGCCTCCCCAACCCCTCCCCGCCCTGCCCCGCCGTCACCACCTCCCAGAGGGCACAGCTCTGTGCCTCAAAGCCAGAGCCCCAGAGCCAGCGGGGCAGTGACCTGCAAGCCACAGTGGCTGCCCTTTGCGTGCTGCGAGGTGGGGGACCCTGGGCAGGAAGCTGGCTGGGCCCCAAGACCCCGGGGGCCATGGGCGGGGAGCTGCTGTCCGGCCTGGGGGCCCTGCGGCGGAGGAAGCGGCTGCTGGAGCAGGAGAAGTGGCTGGCCGGCTGGGCGCTGGCGCTGGCGGGCGCTGGCATCGGGCTCATGGTCCTGCACGCGGAGATGCTGTGGTTCGGGGGGTGCCCGGTGAGTGCTGGCTGGCCTGGCCTGGGGGAGGAGGCGGCTGGGCTTCTGTGTCTGAGGGAAGAAGCACAGGGGTGGACCTAGAGTCTGAGGGAGGTAAGGGTTCGAGGGAGAAGGCTGGGAGGGGTCTGCATGCTTGGGTCTGAGGGGGATGGAGAGGTTGGAGGATGCATATCTGGTCTGAGAGAGGAGGCACCAGCAGCTGGGACTCCTGTCTGGGGGGAGGAGGCATTGAGGGCTGGACCCTGGTGTCTGAGGGAGGAGGCTGGGGGCCTAGGGAGGTGTGTGTGGGGGGGGGGGGGGCGTTCTTCACAGAGGGAGGGAGAGGGTTGTCTGTGTGTCCCTGTCTGAGGTGCAGCCTGAGAAAGCTAGGTCCTGGCAGGCTTGGGGGTGTGTGAGGTGGTTAGGGGTGAGGTAACCGGGGCTCTCTGAGGCTAAGTAGGAAGAAAGGGCTCCCGTCCTGGAAGGAGGCGGCTCCCAGGCCTTATCTGGGCGGGAAAGTTTCCCCAGAGGGAGCCGGGCCGGGGTGGGGGAGGGAAATGGAACCAGCACCCCGCCCCCCTCCATCTCCAGGGAGCTCAGTCTTCCAGCCCCCAACCCCTGGTCTGATGTGTGGTCTGGGGGTGGGTGAGCAGGAGGTAGTGGGAGCTGGAGGTGGTGCTGAGGGAGGGCAGAGGTTGAGGACCCCCGTGTTCTGCAGGGGAGAGGGGGGCGGTGGGCCGAGGCACAGGTGGGGCGGGAGGGAGACAGGTCAGAGCAGGCGCTCGCTCAGCATTCCAGCCCCTTCCGGGCAGAGAGGGGGGCTGGGAGAGGACACAGGTCAGTGCCACTGCTTGAGGACAGAGAATTGCTCAACAGGAAAGGAGGTGGAGACCTGTCTGAGGGGGGGAGGTGGAGACCTGTCTGAGGGGGGAGGGCGGAGTGGCACCTCCAAAGGGGGCCTGCCTGATCTGATGACCAGGAGGATTTGCAGGGGACAGAGGACTGGGGGGAGGGGAGGGGGCGCTGCTCTGAAGGATCTCGAGTCACAAGGAAGGTCAGGGCAGGCGGATCAGGCTGTGGGCAGGAGGGGGTGGGGTGCCCGCCGCGGGCCATGCCAACAGGAAGCATGGCTGGAGGGAGCTCGCCAGCCCGCCACTCCCACGCTTGGGCACCCGCCCAGCAGGGAGGCCAGGACGCGGGGGCCTGCTGGGCGGGCAAGGGCCCAGGGGGGTCTTCCTTTCCCTCTGCCCTTTCCCACCTGCCAGATCCCAGCAGTGGGACCAGAGGGGGGCGGGGAGCAGCAGCTCTCCGAGCCTCAGTTTCCATACCCCCTCCATGTGCCTCCTGCTTCCTGGGGGGAGAATTGGGGTGGAAACTCCGGGGAGCACAGGGAAGTGAGAGGGGAGCAGGGGAAGGCAGGGACCCTCAGAAACAGCGAGAGGAAGAGGCACAGAGCAGGGCGGGGGCCTGGGCTGAGCGGACAGGGGGAACAGGCAGAGACTCACCTGAGAGCCAGACTGTGGACTGGGATGGACTCAGGGACCCACCAAAGAAAAGGGTTCAGGGGAGGAGCACAGGCCTGGCGTGTGGGAGGCCCTGACCAGCCCTGGCCCCCTCCTCGCCCCCCCCCATCACATACTGTGTAGCTTGGGTACACCCCCAGCACCACCCCAATGACCTCTCTCCCAAAGAAAATACTCATAATGATAAGGAAGCCTCTAAGAAAAAAAAAAAGTTCAAGGGGATCAGGGAGCTCTGAGAAGGATGAAGGAGTGGGGGAGGGCTGAGGGACAACAGCACCATTGTTCTGGGGGGGCTGGCCCCCTGGGGCAGGAAACTGGCCTCTTCCCCTGCAGGGGTGGGGCCCTGGCCAGGCTCTAGGAGCTGGCAGCGTCTTAGGAGAAACAGGTGCCTGGGCTCATTCTGGGAGCCCAGGGGGGCCCCTCTGCTGGTCAACCCCCTCCAGGCCCACCTCTGTCCCTCTCAGCACCCCCCATGTCCCCCCTCTCCTAGAGAAGCCAGCAGTCCCAGTCCCTCCAAAACTCTCCCTCCAGAATTCGAGAGCCCTCCAAGGCCTTGCCATAGAGGGAAAAAAAAAAACCCTCCATGTTAGGGGTGACCATGTGCTTCTGGCCAGATCCACGCTGGGCCTGGAGCCTGGAGCCTGGGTCGGGTGGGAAGGAGGACAGAGCAGCAGAGAGGGAGAAGAACTATCAGGGAGCTTGCTCAGAGCTGGGCTGGGTCCTCCTTCACCCCAGGAGGGCATTCGTTTTGCAGGCACTTGAGTGCTACTTGGGTCCCCGGGAATTTGTTGGGGAACTTGTAGTTGCTTTTGCGCAGGACCAGATAGGTGGGAAGATAGCTTAATATCTATTTCCAGTGTCCCACCACACACACACACACATACCCACACACACGCGGAAGCGCGCACACACACACACACACACACAGCTGAGAACCCAGAGGTCTGGAGCCATACAGTAGGGAGGGTGCTTGCCTTGCACTTGGCTGACCTGGGTTCAGTCCCCAGCATCTTATCTGGCCCCCGAGCATCACCAGGAGTAATTCCCAAGTGCAGAGCCAGTAGTATCCCCTGAAGCATTACCAAGTGTGATCAAAAAAGCCAAAAAAAAAAAAAAAAAGGAATGGGGGGGGGTGAAGGTGTCAGCTTAACCCTAGTACTGCAAGCAAGACACTTGCCTTGCATGTGGCTGACTCAGGTTCAATCCCCGTCACCCCATATGGTTCCTCTATGGTTCCTCAAGCCCCACCAGGAGTGATTCCTGTGCACAGAGCCAAGAGTGAGCCCTGAGCACTGCCAGCTGTGCCCCCCCATAAGAAGAGAATGGAATGTGAGGGCCTGGAGCCCCGGATTTGCTTTCTGGCACCACGTGGTCCTGAATTGGGAGTGACCCCCAAACTATGAGCTGGGGGTAGCCCCTGGGCACCCTGGGTGTTACTGATATGTGTTCTGAAGGGTAAGGGGACAGCAGGTAGGGTGTGGGGGTTGAGAGAGGGAGGGGATCCCCAGGTCTGCAGGGGACAGGAGTCCCAAGTTTGAAAAATGAATAAATAGAGGGAATGGGAGATTCAAGATTTCCACTCTGAATCCGGGGTCCTGGAACAGGAGGTCCCCCTGACATCTGGGTCTGGGGTATGTGGTTGGGAAGAAAGGGGTACCCTCCCTGACAACCAGAAGATGGATTTTTGGGGGGTGGATTAGGTTATACCTCACAGTGTTCAGGGGACCCTAAGCAATGCTGGGAATTGAACCTGAACCGGCTGCATGTGAGGCCACACCCCCACGTCCCCTCTTGGGTGCTAGGAAGATGGTTTCCAGACTTTTGCTGAACAGAGATATCAGGAAAAATGGGGGTTGAGGGGAGAAGGGATGGAATCTTGGAACTTGGGAACTGTGGGGGTTGGGACTAGAGAGACCGGGGGGAGTCTCACTCCTCTCCCCCCTCCCAGCAGTGGGCCCTCTACCTGTTCCTGGTGAAATGCACCATCAGCGTCTCCACCTTCCTGCTGCTTTGCTTCATCCTGGCCTTTCACGCCAAGGAGGTCCAGGTAAGCGGCCCCACCCGCGCAGTGCTCCCCTCAGCCCCAACTCTGCCTGCCGCCTCACACTTTCCACTCTTCTCCACCTCCCCGGCTGAGTAATGAGAATCTTCCGCCAGAGATCCACACCCTCCCTCACCCGTCTGGTCAAGGCAGGCAGGCAGACAGGCAGACAGACAGATCAGACAGACCAGCCTCCCCAGAGCAGCCCCCTCCCTCGGCCCCCCGCAGTCGCCTGGGCTCGCTGCTCTCTGCCTGCCCCCCTCACCTCCAGACGCTTAACAGACCCCGGTTCCTGGATGGCCCTGGGGGGCAGGGGCCCCCAAACTCCAGTAAACTCAGTTAACGACCTGCTCACCCACACCTTGGGAACCAACCGTGCTTCCCACCCAGACCCAGGAGCCCTCCCATCCACACCCCCCCCCCGCACCCCATCCCTCTGAGAGGAAAGCGGGGTGCTATTGACTTCCTGTGGCAGTGCTCCCCTCCCCTTCGGCCAGTGCCCAGTGCACCAGAGAGGCTCTGTCAAAGGCACATGGTCACTAACTAGCAATCCTGGGACAGGGAGCAGCCCCAGGCTGGGGCACAGCACTGCCCAACCTCAATTTCTGCAGCTGGGAAATGGGTTGATCACACACCCAAGCCTCCTGTTGTCCCTGGCAACTGGGTCCAAGTCTGGGAGGCGCCCCAGGGGTCCCTGGGCGTGGCTGTCAGTCAGCATCGGGGCGGTGGGGTTTTGCCTGTGGGGGGCCGTGTCACTCAGTGGGCGGCTCCTGGATTGAAATGGAGCCCCCAGCCCCAGAAGCGGGGAAGGATATCTTCCTCGGGTCCTGCCCTGCTCCCCACCCTGCGGGCCCCGCCCCCCAGCGCTATCGGCGCGCGTCCCGGTCCGGGCGGGCGGCGCCCCCCTTATCTCCCGGGCACAGGCTGGCCTCGGCCGTCTGACCCGCGAGTGACCCCCGCATCCCCTCCCGCCCCAACCCCCCGCAGCTGTTCATGACGGACAACGGGCTCCGGGACTGGCGCGTGGCGCTGACCGGGCGGCAGGTGGCGCAGATGGTGCTGGAGCTGGCGGTGTGCGCGCTGCACCCCGCGCCGGTGCAGGGCCCGCCGTGCGCGCCCGGGGCGGCCGCCGCCGCCTGGCCGGGCTTCCTGGACCAGGGCGAGGCGCTGCTGTCGCTGGCCATGCTGCTGCGCCTCTACCTGGTGCCCCGCGCCGTGCTCCTGCGCAGCGGCGTCCTGCTCAACGCCTCGTACCGCAGCATCGGCGCGCTCAACCAGGTCCGCTTCCGCCACTGGTTCGTGGCCAAGCTGTACATGAACACGCACCCCGGCCGCTTGCTGCTCTGCCTCACTCTGGGGCTCTGGCTCACCACCGCCTGGGTGCTGTCGGTGGCTGAGAGGTGAGGGCGCGTGTTGGGCGCGGGGGCGGGGAGCGGGCCCCTGGAGCACCCGGAGGAGCAGCGGAGAGGCGCCCACGTTCGCCCTGTACGGTGGTGTAGGTTGCAAGCAAAGCCCGAGGAAAGAGCAGTGGCCAGAGCCCTAGAGCAAGCTTCAAGGGCGAGGATCATGCTTGAACATGCAGGAATTCCAGTTTTTTTTTTCTTTTGGGTGTGGGGGGGGGGGTCACACCCAGTGGTGCTGGTGAGTTATACTCCTGACTCTGCGTGCACTCAGGAATTTCTGCTGGCGGTGCTCAGAGAGCCAGATGGATGCTGGAGATCAAACCCATGTTGGCCTATTGCAAGGCAAGCACCGTCCCCGCGGTGCTATCTCTCCAGCCTGGCTCCCCGGTTCTATCCTCCTACCACATGGTTCCCCCAAGGAGCCCCCTGAGCCATGACCAGGTTGGAACTTCTGAACACCAGCAGCTGTGGGCCCCCCTCAAAGAGAGCTCAAGCTCTCCCCCTCCCCTACTTACTTCCTCCTGCTCCCCCAGATTTGAGATTTGTCCTCATGTTCATGCAATAGGGTAGAAGGAACGCAGAGCCCTGCCCTCTCCAGCCAGAGTCCAAGGAGCTCTGTGACTTGCAGGCCACCAGCTGGACAGAGTCCGGCCTTTTCAGATCATTTTTCCGTCTCTGTCTCAGAGAGAGGAAGAATTTAGGGGTAACCCTAGCCACAGGGGTAATCTGAAGCCAGTAGGTAGGGGTGGGGGCAGCAAGCTACCTAACAGGGAAAGGTCCCAGGAGCACCTTCACCTGGAGGGCAAGATCTGCCACAAGATTCTTTCTCTTACTTTCTTTGCATTTTATTTGCTTGGTTTTTTGTTTTGGAGCCACACCCAGCGTTGGCCCTGGCTCTGCACTCAGGAGTCACTCCTGGCTGGGCTTGGGGAATTCTATTTGGTGCCAGGGATTGAACCTGGGTTGGCTGCATGCAAGGCAGTCACCTCGATCCTATAGCATTTTTTGGCCTATTTTCTTGTTTCTTCTTCTTCTTCTTTTTTTTTTTTTTATCCTGGTTTTTTGAGCCACACCCAGCAGTGCTCAAGGGTTACTCCTGGCTCTGCACTCAGGGATCACTCCTGACAGTGCATATGGGCATATGGGGTGCTGGGGATCAAACCCAGATTGGTCTCATGCAAGCAGACAGCCTACCTATCCTCTTTTTATTTTTAAAATTATCTTTATTTACCAAGGAGCGATAGCACAGTGCAGCCGGCCCAGCTGAGCCTGGTTCGATTCCTCTGCCCTTCTCGGAGAGCCCAGCAAGCTACCGAGAGTATCTCGCCTGCACGGCAAAGCCTGGCAAGCTACCCATGCGGTATTTGATATGCCAAACACAGTAACAACAAGTCTCATGATGGAGACGTTACTGGGCCCGCTCGAGCAAATCGATGAACAACGGGAGGACAGTGATACAGATACCAAGTAGGTGGTATTTCTGTTTTGTTTCTGTTTTGTTTGGGGGCCATAGCAGTGCTCAGGGGCTATTCATGGTTCTGTTTGTTTATTAGTTTTGTTATTTTGGCGTCACATCCAGCAGTGTTACTCCTGGCAGTGCTCAGGGGACTGTATGGGATGCCGGGAATCAAACCCAGGTCAGCTGCCTGCAAGGCAAGAGCCCTCCCCATTGTATTATCTCTCTAGCTCTTACTCACAGTTCACTCCCAGAAGTGCTCAGAGCACCATGCAGTGCCATGCTGGGGATGAAACTTGGTCATATCTCTCCGGTCCCATGCAATGGGTTCCAGGACGAGAAGAATTCTAGTGCCTCTCTTGTCCCATCTGTCTCATGTCCCACCTGCTTCACACTCCCCCAGGACATTCTCATTGTTGTTTTTGTTTTGTTTGGGGGCTACACCTGGTGATGCTTAGGGCTTGCTCCTGGCCATGTGCTCCGGGATCACTCCTGGTGGGGCTTGGGAATCCAACCCAGGTCAGCCGTGCTGGAGACAAGCGCCTCCCTGCTGTACGTTTGCCCCGTCCCCTTTCTCATTTTTGTTGTTATGAAGCCCCTTCCTGGAGTGGGTTGACTGTGTCCCCAGTGAGAAATGGGTCAGGATGAACAAATGACCCAACTAAGCCTCTGTCAACGTGTGTCATTCATCTGACACACGAGAGGCTGCGGAGGCAGTCACTCATACATAGAGACCCATGATCCTGAATGAGCTTTGTAGTGTGTGTGTGTGGGTGTGGGTGTGTGTGAGCGCGCACGCTCATGCCTGTATGGTATATGCACATGTGTGTACATGTGTGCATGTGCGTGTGTGTGTGTGTACAAGTATGTAGGGGGATTCAGTAAACCAACAGTTCATCCACAGCTTAGGAATCTGAGATGTCTGGGGTGCTCACTAAGAGGGTCTGTCTGTAGATCCTGGCAACAGGGTTCGAGTAAGGCAAAGTCCGGCTGGGGTGGGGAGGGGTCGCAGTCCTGCCAGACTGGGTAGAGACCCACTGTGTGATCTACAAAGAGCCACTTGAAGACCACAGAGCATTTTAGGTGGAAATTAGAAAGAGGACCAGAGCCATAGGACAGTGGGGAGGGCATTTGCCTTGAATATGGCCAACTCAGGTTTGATTACTGGCATCCCATATGGTCCCCTGAGCACCACCAGGAGTGATTCCTGAGTGCAGAGTCAAAAGCAATCCGTAAGCATCACTAGGTGTGGCCCCCAAAAGAGAGAGAGAGAGAGAGAGAGAGAGAGAGAGAGAGAGAGAGAGAGAAAGAGAGAGAGACGGAAAGAGAAGGGAGGGAGGGAAAGAAGGGGGAGAGAGGGAGGGAGGAAAAGAGGTAAGGAGGAAAGGAAGAAGGGAAAAAAGAAGAAGTGCCCGTCTCCGCCCCTACCCCCTGCTTTTGACAGCGTCTGGAGTGCACTTTCTGGGTTTCTGCACACACATGTGCCCCACCCTAACCCCACAAGCCCATGCTCGGAATACTGTTTCCCCACCTGCTTCCTGACAGCCAGTGGTTTGTGGGGGATTTTGTTATTTGTTTGTTCCTTTTTTTCTGTTGGTTTTTTTCTTTGGGGGGGGCCATACCTGGTGTGCTCAGGGGACCCTTTGTGGTTACAGAAGGTGGAACCTGGGTCAGCTGTGCCAGGCAAGTGCCTGAGCAGCTGTGCTGTTTCCCCAGCGTCCCCCCCAGAGGCTTTGGAACTGGCAGGATGTGGGTTCCAATTAGCTCCCCAGGTCACAGGTTCTCAGAGGCCCCAGGTGTCCTGGTGCTTTGGGACTACAGGTGTGTGTGTTCATAAAGGTGTCAAACACCAGTGGAGGGGCTGGAGAGATATCACAGCAATGAGCACACTTTCCTTGCATGTGGCCAATCTGGGTTCGATCCCTGGCATCCCATAGGCCCCCCTCCCCGCACCGGGCAGCCAGGAATGATCCCTGAGTGTAAGCCTTGAGCACCGCTGGGTGTGGCCCCAAAACAAAAACAAAAAACAATTATCAGGGGAGCCTCGGGAACAGCAGGGTGTCCCAACAACGCCCCCCATTCCTCCATCCCTGCAGGCAGGCCGTTAATGCCACCGGGCACCTTTCTGACACGCTGTGGCTGATTCCCATCACGTTCCTGACCATCGGTTACGGGGATGTGGTGCCAGGCACCATGTGGGGCAAGATCGTCTGCCTGTGCACGGGGGTCATGGTGAGTGCACGGCTTCTGGGGAGCCTCTCCAGCGGGGCCGCCGGCGTCACCCTGCACCTGTGAAGTGGTGCTGGGGATCCAGCTCTTGGGTCTCACACTTCCCCTGGCGTGGGCTCTGCATCCCCAGGTCCCAGCGCCAACTTTTCACTGAGCCCGTGCTCTGTGGCAGCCTCTGCCCTCAGCGTGGGCCGGTGATGGCTGCTGGTGTCCACAGTGACCCCGGGCAGCCAGCCCGGCTTCCAGAGAAGGAAGATGAGCTGAGGAGACCGTTGCTCCTGGCTAGATTTGGGACTCCCCATCCCACCCCATCCTGGGAGCCCATGTCCCTGATGCTCAGTGGCTCTAAGTGGCCAAGGAAGGTGTGGGGGTGGAGGAAGCATTGAAGAAGGATTTGGGCTCAAACTTATTGGCCTCTTACCTCCTTTTTGGGGAGGGGCGTGGAGATCACATTCAGGGCCAGAGAGGGGGCACAGGAGGTGAAGCACAGGCCTTGTACACAACCGCTTTAGCCACTACCCTGGTTCAATTCCAATGTCCTACATGGCATCCCACCCCCACCCCTTGCCCCCAGCATGGCCAGGGGTCACTTCTGAGCTCGGAGCTGGAAATAGCCCCTGAGCACTGTTGGGTGTGGCCCAATCCCCCACCCCCACATTCACTAACCCCCTTGGAAAGGTCCCTTCTTGAAGTGACCAGAAAGCGCCCTCCCCACCGCGCCTGAAGCTCTCCCACCCCTTGGGTTGCTCCAGTGCCCCCCCGCCCCATACCACCTTCCCTGGAAGACTGGTCTGAGGTGAGGAAGAGGGGGCAGGTGTCCCCGAGTTGTGTGTCTGAGGGAAGGGAGAAAGGTCCAGGGCTGGAGTGATAGGACAGCAGGGGTGGGGGGTGGGGGTTTCCATTCCCCAGCATCCCATATGGCTCCCTGAACCCGCCAGGAGTCATTTCCTGAGTACAGAGCCAGGACTAATCCCTGAGCATCGCCAGGTGTGGCCCCAAAATCAAAAACAACAAAAAAAGAAAGAGTTTCAGTTCAAGGAGATGGGAGAGGCAGCAGGAAGAGGAGGGACCGCTGAGGATCTGGGGAGGAGGGAGAGCAGGGATAAGGGAGGGGTAGGGGACCCCCCCACTTGGTGACCTTTCAGCCACAGCCCTGCAGCAGGGAGTGGGAGGGGAGGTTGCAATCAGCCCGGACCTGTCCTGCCTCGCCTCTCTCCTTCCTCTCCCCACCCCCTGCGTGCCCATCCCCTTCGCTTTGTGGCTCTTGTCATCCTATTGGGTGTCACCCACTCACTGGGCTTCCAGGGTTTGCCCACCTGTCTGTTCTGGTGGCACATTTGGTGAGGGGCAGGGTAGGGGCCGCGGGAATCAAGCTTGAGGCCTCACATGTGCAAAGCACCCCGAACCATCCCCCCAACCTCCAGAGTGAGGACATGGTGTGGCCACTGTTTGCCGGCTTCCCCACAGCCAGCCTGGGTCCCGGCATCTGTCTCTGTGCCTGTCTGTTTGTCTGGCCCCTCGCGGTGTCCATGCCCAGCCTCTGGGGCTGCGGGGAGGGTTCCGGGGACAGCGGGGGTCACGGCCAGGCTCCGTTCACAGGGGGTCTGTTGCACTGCCCTGCTGGTGGCCGTGGTGGCCCGAAAACTGGAGTTCAACAAGGCCGAGAAGCACGTGCACAACTTCATGATGGACATCCAGTACGCCAAGGAGGTGAGGAGGGCGCTGCCGCCAGAATCCCCGCCCCCACCACGAGTCCCGCCCGGCCCTGCCTCCCCTGACACTCTGCCCCCCAGATGAAGGAGTCAGCTGCACGCGTGCTGCAGGAGTCCTGGATGTTCTACAAACACACACGCAGGAAGGAATCGGGAGCCGCCCGCAGGCACCAGCGCCGGCTGCTGGCTGCCATCAACACGTGAGGTCCCAGTGTCCCACGCTCACCTTGCTCTGCATGATGTGTATGTGCGTATGTGTGCGTACGTGTGTGCATGTGTGTGTGTGTGTGTGTGTGTGTGTGTGTGTGTGTGTCTGTACACGAGTGTGTCAGCAGGATGCTTCACCGGGCTCATCGAACAGGGACTGTCCTGGGTCCTGGCAATGGCTGGGGTCTGTGGACAGGACCCCTGGTCTCTGATGGGTTCTTGGGCTCCCTCTGCCCGCTCTCATCTTTTAGTCATTTTTCTCATGGCACCGAATCTCCATGGACCTCTCCCCTCATCCCATCTTGCCCCAGAACTCTGGTCCCATTTGGGACCAGGAATTCAGGGAATTGACCCCCTGCACCTTTCTCCCCAGGTTCCGCCAGGTGCGGCTAAAGCACCGAAAGCTTCGGGAACAAGTGAACTCCATGGTGGACATCTCCAAGGTTCGGGCGCCCCCAGGGTGCAGGGGAGGGCTGTGTGTGTGGAGACGAGACCGACAACAGGGGTCGCTGGTAGGCCGGGCACCCCCAAAGCCTGTGTCTGAGTGAAGATTGCAAAACAGGGAGAGGTGCAGAGAACCAAAGTGCGGCACCTGAGAGATAGTACAGGTGTACAGAGAAACAATGCAGGCATTCAGAGAGATGGTACAGGCACTCAGAGAGGTGGTACAGGCAGAGATGGTACAGGCACTCAGAGATGGTACAGGCAGAGAGATAATACAGGAATTCAGAGAGATGGTACAGGCAGAGAGATAAAACAGAGACTAGAGAGATGGTACAGGCACTCAGCACTCACCTTGCATATGGCTAGCTCTGCTTTGATCCCCAGCACTTCATGGTCTGGGGATTGCCTGGAATGACTGCTAAGCTCAGAGCTGGGAATAACCCCTGAGTACCAGTGGGTGCTGCCTAACCCCCAATAAGAGTGTATTGTGTATTTACGAATGGGCCGCGGCCCTCTATCTCTCTTGCCATCCATGTTCTGTGGTCTCAGGCAGCTTCCCCCACCCCAGGGAGGCCGATGATGAACGGAGGACGAAGGAAGTAACAGGGCCAGGCTGGTTGGTGTCAGTTACAGTTTATTCCATTCCCATCTCCATTCTCTTCTGATTCTCCTCCTGCTTCTTCCTCCTCTGCTTCTCGTCCCCATTCTATTTTATTCTCCTTCTGGATCCCCCTTCATTCTCCTTCTCGCTCCCCCAGCCCATTTTTACAGCCAAGTTAAAACCCAAAGCATGAAGGGTTGGGGCTTATACATAGGTGTGGTCACAATCAACAGAGGTAAAGTCCTTCCTTCAGGGGAAGCGTCTTCTATTACAGATTTCTCATCCAGCAGGAAGACCCACCCAAGAGTGGAATCCCACGGGTGTGTTTCTCCTCTCCTTGTAACAAACATAATATTAATCATTTTGTATGGACACAGTAAGAAATACGTTAAGCTTATAGGATGGCTCTCCCGAGGCTATCTCACTATAGATCTCAGACTACAGTGCTCAGGCCAAATTCCTAACCCTAGTAGGGTCCTAGTCTTATTGTTACTGTTTGTATCATGACAGCATTTGTCCATGAGCATGCTCTTATTGTGGCGCTTTGGCCTGGCCCATTTCAATGCCAGGGTAGCTCACAGCTTGCCCTGGGTCCATTCAGTCCCTCGTCGGGACCCTGCTTTTGGGGTGCTAGGAACTAAGGGAAACTGAGGCTTAAGTGAAGAAAGCAGATGCCTGGGAGTGAATATTATTCGGAGCCACTTAACTCCCAAGTTACAAAAGCATAATATTAACTGTCTTCCTGTGTCTATACAAAAAGGGCATTGCTTTAAAATAAACTATTCAAAAGACATAAGGAGAGGTAAAAGGTAAAGGTAAAGGTAAAGGCCCTCCCGTTGATCGTCGATTTGCTCGAGCGGGCCCAGTAACGTCTCCATTGGAGACTTTGTTGTTACTGTGTCTGGCATATCGAATACTCTCGGTAGCTTGCCGGGCTCGACAGGCAATTATTTCACTCATGAATACAAGTCAAGTGTCCTTAGAAGATCTGACCTTACAAGTTAACAGAGTCTGATTAGGGGGAAAAGGTGATAGACAGGTTGGGGAAGAGAGCACAGAGAAGTTACAGATAAGCACAGAGGAATGGGAGTGACTCGGGAGCACTGTGATGGGTGTAATTGATAAACCTAAGCTCCCTGTGGCAAGGGAGAAAGGACAATATCCTACAGTGTATAATATTTAATTTTGAGGAGGATTTTTTAGGGACTTCTCCTAGGCAGTGCCCAGGAAACGCAGCACCCGGCTTGGCAATTCCATCAAGAAAGTGGGCAGTTCAGTGCAAAGGCCTTGTAGGGCAGGGGTGGCCAGGGTCACCTGATGGTGCTCAGGGGCTCCCATGGCTGCACCCAGCAGTGCTGGAGGGTCCCAGGTTGCCCCAGGATCTCACCAGGGGCAGCGACCTGCAGGGCAAGTGCCTGCATCCCTTCACTCTCTCTCCCGCCTGGGATTCGGTTTTGATACTTTTATTGGTTTTTTTGTTTTTTTGGGTTTTTTTTGCTTTTTGGGTCACACCTGGCAATGCACAGGGGTTACTCCTGCCTCTGCACTCAGGAGTCACTTCTGGCGGTGCTCAGGGGACCATATGGGATGCTGGGAATTGAACCCGGGTCGGCCACATGCAAGGCAAACGCCCTACCTGCAGTGCTCTCTCTCCAGCCCCTTTATTGTTGACTGTACATGTGGACGGATATAAAGTTCCTTCCAATGCCAACTCTTAGGGTACATTAACAGCAGAACAAATTGACAAATGGAACTCCAAGATAAGTTGCAAAACCAATGAAAAGGAGGAATCCGCCGGCTAGGAGAGAGGCAGCTTTGTTTCCAGGGCGCTCAACACGGCGGCCTCAGGGAGGTGGGCTGGGCCCCAGGTGCCCATGAGCCACCTCCCACTGGGTCACGGCCAGATCCTAGGAACAGTGATGTCAGGCCCCACTGGCCCTTCGTGTATCCGGTGCCCTTTGCTTTTCTTTTTCCTCCTTTGACCACAACAAGTCAAACAGTGGCCCTTGGCACTGGGCCACAGCAAACAGTTACAGACATGGGTCCTTAAAGCTTGTGACCACTGGTGAGAAGCAGGGGCCGGACCCACCTGATATGCTGTAATGGGCAGGTGACCATTTCACTGTGTTATTTTTTCCCCTTGTTTCTTGAGCCACACCTGGCTGTGTGCATAGGAATCACTCCTGGCAGTGCACAGGGACCATATGGGATTCCAGGGATGGAACCAGGATCGGTCACCTGCAAGGCTATCACTCCGGCCCCAGCATTCTGGAAGATTGATGGCACCCCCAAGAGAATTTCCGAGTGCGTTTGGCCTAGGGAGGTGGCTCAGCCAGCCAGTGCTCAGGCTTTGCTTGCTGGAGTTCCGGGTTCCATGCCCACCTCAGGGGACCACCCTGCAGGGGGTAATCTGGAGCCTCTGAGAATTGTGAGGTGTACCCCCACCCCCAGCAACACCAACAAAATAATCCAGAGGATTCCGGGCCTTTGGAGGGTGCTCACTCACTTTCCCCACTGAAGTTGTGAAGTGTTTCACAACCCCAGCCCCCTCTGAGAGGCAGCCCCAGAGCTCTAGGGGTTCAGAAATGAAGTCCTCGTCAGAGGCTCTGACCTTTGGGGCTCACTTCACCGCCCCTGCCTCAGTTTCCCCAACTGCAAACATGTGAACATCAGCCCCCATCCCCCAAACCCCCATCCAACTGTGCCTTTCAGAAGTACAAAGCAGAAGTGAAAAGCACCTGGAACTCCAAGATAAATGGCAAAATCAATAAAAAGCATGAATCTGCCAGCCGGGAGAGAGGCAGCTTTGTTTCCAGGGCACGTGGCACAGTGGCCTCGGGGAGGTGGGCCGGGCATTAATAATGGCTGGGCATTAATAAAAGGTTAATTTACGACTCTGGACTGCCGAGCCAGGGATATAGTTCAAAGGGTTGGAGTGTATCAAAGTGATAGTACAGTGGGGAGGGCGCTTGCCTTGCACACCCTGAACCCAGGTTCACTCTCCAGCATCCCATAGGGATCCCATAGATCCCTAGCAATCTGTAGGGTCCCCAAGGCCTGCCAGGAGGGATCCCTGAGCACAGAGCCAGGAGTGAGCCCTAAGAATTGCTGAATGTGGCTAAAAAAAATTTTTTTTAAAGGTTGGAGCATATACCTTGCATTTGTGAGATCTCAAGTTTAATCCTGGTACTCACCCCCCCAATATCTCTTAGAGTGCCCTTGGGGGTTCTGAGCACTGCTGGGGAGGCCCCACTGAGAATGAATAAGGGCTGGGAATGTGGCTCGGTGAAACACTTGTGTGTGTGAGGCCTTTGGTTTGATCCCCAGTGACAAAAAGGGAAAAAAAAGAAAAAGAAGGAAGGAAAGAAAGAACGAAAGGAAGGAAGGAAGGAAGAAAGAAAAAAAGTAAAGGGGGTGGGAGAGCAAGTGAGAGCGATAGTATAGCGGGTAGGCCCTAGCATTTGTTCTGTACGCAGGTTCAATTCCCCGCATCCCCTATGGTCCCCCGAGCACAACCAAGAGTAATTCCTCACTGCAGAGCTAGGAATAAACCTTGAGCAAGCACTGCCAGGTGTGGACCCAAAACAAAACAAAAATATTTAAGGGGTGAGAGAGATGGGACAGAGCTTCAGGCACTTGCCTCACGTGCTGCTAAGCCTGGTTTGAATCCCCAGCACTGCATATGGTGTTCTATCACCACCAGGAGTGACCCCTGAGCACAGACCAGGGTGTGGTCCCCAACCAAACAAAAATAAACAGGGTGAGAGAGGAGGGTAGGCCTGCATGTGGGAGACCCAGGTTTGATTTCAGCACCCAATGGCTCCCTGAGCACCACTGGAAGAGAATCCCCTGCCCCCCAACAGTGAGTTGGGAGTAACCTCTGAATATAGTGGGATATAGTTCTGAAACCGAAGCCCAAATAAGATAAGAATCCTGGAGGGGGATGGACCAGGTCAATAGTACAGAGGGTAGGGCACTTGCCTTGCACGTGGCTGACCTGGGTTTGATCCTGGCACCCCATAGTATCCCCTGGTCTTCACCAGCAGTGATCCCTGAGCACAGAGCCAGGAGGGATCCCTGAGCACCACCGGATGTAGCCCCCAAACCAACAAACAAGAATTATGGAGGAGCCCTGCAGGTCCCTAAATGTGGGCTCCACCGGACGGGAGGGGCTGCCGCAGTGCCCTGAGCCCACCCCTCTCTCCAGATGCACATGATCCTGTGTGACCTGCAGCTGAGTCTTAGCAGCTCCCACCGGGCCCTGGAGAAGCGCATGGACGCGCTGGCGCTGAAGCTGGACACGCTGACCGAGCTGCTCGGCTCCGCCCTGAGGGTGCAGCCACTTCCAGAAGCCAACCAGGAGGCCACGTAGCTGGTGAGGGGCCAGGGCGGGGGGAACCTCCTGGAGGAACAGGGCTACAGCCGGGCTAAGACGTGGGGGGCAGCCAGGGGACGCCTCCCCCACCGTCTCCTGCACACTGACCAGCTGGAGGCAAAAGTTCAGGTTCAAGTGTGGCTGGATGGTGCAGGAAAGACACCCCTGCTCCTGCTCGGGGTCCGGTCTGGATACATTGTCCTATGTCTGTACCCCAGACTCTTGGTGCCAGCTACTCCCGCCCTTCTACACACGCCTGTTGACCCTGACTTCACATCCGTGTCCATCCCCTGGCAATTTCCCGACGGCCTTCTGTCTCCGCAGGACACGTGGAGGAAGACTCAGGATGGAGGTTCCAGCTGTTCTCCTGCTGCCCATGAATAAAGCAGCTGCCGGGCGAGGGGTGCAGGGCGCTCCCCGCTCCCAGGGCTGGGTGGGTTCATGACAGGGGACACTGGCTGGCGGAAGGAGGTGGGGGGAAGTGGTGCCCATCATGCCCAGGCCCTCCAGGAAGAGACCTCACTCTGTTCTAGGGGCAACTCTGGCCTCTGCTGGAAGTGGGGGCACTTGGGGACTGACCCCCAAGGTAGGGGAGGGCTCGGATTCCAGGCTCCAGGGAGGCCTCAGTGACCGCTGGCCGGCAGAGCTGAAGGAACCAGGCCGGCAGCCTGGGATAGGGGATGGGCTCCTACCGAGCCCGAGGACATTTGGTGGGGAGAATGGGGTGTCCCCCAGTTTCTGTTCTCCTACTTTGTAATAAATGTTGAACAAAGGCCACAGGCTCTGCGTCTTCCTCAGTGAGCTCCACTGCAATTGCAGGCGGCTAACAACTGCCCCAGCCAGCCTCAGCGTCCCCATCTGTCCCACAGGCCAATGAGTGCTTTTTTCCCCCCCTTAAATTAATTAATTTTGGTATTTTGGGCCACACTTGGCTGTGCAGAGGGCTTATTCTTGACTCTGTGTTCAGGGGACATTCCTGGTGGTGTTCAGGGAACCATATAGGGTGCCGGGGATCGAACCTGGGTTGTCTGTGTGCAAGGCAAGCGCCCTCCCGTCTGTACTATGGCTCTGGCCCCAGTCACTTGACCTTAACCCTCTGCACAATGCTAGATCTGCGACTAAGGCAAGGACTCTGAATTCATTGTTAATTTGGGGAGTCACTACACCCTGCAGTGTTCAGGGGCTACTTCAGGCTCTGTGTCCAGGGCGTGCTTGGCGGTGCTCAAGATGACATGGGATAGAACCAGGTTTGGGCCGGATGCAAAGCCAAGTACCTAAACTCTCTTACTGTCAAGGGCTTTGAATTCCGACTGATGGGAATGGTAGGGAAGGTGGTGGCAAATCCTGTTTCTGTCACTAGCTATGTGGCTCTGGACAAGCGTCTTCACCTCTCTGAACATTTCAGCTCACCTGTATAAAAGGACTGCCCCTGAACTCCAACACACACAGTTAAGATTAAAGCGGGGGTAGGGGCCAGGGTGATAATGCAGTGGGGAGGGTGCTTGTCTTGCACACGATCAACCCAGGTTTGCTCCCCGGCATCCCCTAGGGTCCCCTGAGTACATCAGAAATGGTTCCTGAGTGCAGAGCCAGGAGTAAACCATAAGCACCACTGGGTGAGTCCCCCCTCCCCCACAAAAAAAAGAATTAAAGCAGGGGTGGTACAGATAGAGACAAAGGAAGAAGTCAAAACGCAAGCTACTTCATCTTTCTATCACTGCTTCTGATGCTCAGGGGTTACTCCTGGCTCTGCACTCAGGAATTACTCCTGGCAGTGCTCAGGGCACCACATGGGATTCTGGGAATTGAACCCGGGTTGACTGTGTGCAAGGCAAATGTCCTACCCGCTGTCCTATCACTTCCGTCCCAGTAATTCACAGTCTTACCAGAACTGAGAGGACAAAACGCCCTCCGGGAGAGTCACAGGAGTCGCACACCACCCCCACAGGCCACTTTCACATGTGTTGGGATGCAGACAGGAAGAGGGAGTGGGCACGGGGTGGCGGATGCCCTTTTTAGAAATTGTGTCCATTACATGCTCACCCCCAGGGACAGACGCCTCCAGGCTTCCCGGAGTCCAGTCCCCACACCGAGTCCTGCCCCCAGCTTGCCCACATGGCTCCGGGTCTGGAACCTGAGTATCACTTCCCAGGGCCTGGCGTCGCGGCTGATTCACCTGCTTCCGTCCGGCTTGGGGAAGCCCAGGCCCTGTGCGGTTGTCCTTGCTGCTGGGCTATCTTTGGATTTCCTTAACAGAACCACCAGCCCCACCCTCCTGCCCGGCTCACCACCCACCACCAGACCCACCACCTGCCGAGGAAAGGCCCAGGGAACCTGAGGGGCCCTGGAGACAGGCCCCATGCCTGCCCTCTGCAGGCGGCTGTCCCACAGTGCTGTGGGGACCCTGCCAAAAGGACTCCTTTACTTCCCCCACCCAGACTCCATCAGCTGGCAAACTGCCCCCTTCTCAGACCAGGAGGCAGCTCAGTGGCAAAGCTCATGCCTCACATGTGTGTGAGACCTTGGGCTTGATTCCTGGCCCCACAAGAAACCAAAAACAAAACAAAAAAACAACTGGGGCTGGAGAGAGAGTACAGCGGGCAGGGTGCTTTGCTTGCCTTGAACGTGGCTGAGCCTGATTTGATCCCTGGCACTCTGAGCCTCAAAGGGAGAAATCCCTGAGTACAGAATCAGGAGTAGGCCTGGAGCACTTCTGGGTATGTCACACCCCCCTCCTGTCCCTCCCCCCGCAAAAAAAAATATAAATAGGGGCAGGGACGTGGAGTGGGAGAATCCACACATAAGGGCCTGTGTTAGACCCTGGCACAACACATACACACACACACACACACACACACACACACACACACGATAAATAGTAGATCACTTGGTAAATGGTGTTCAAAATTCCCACTGTGAATGCCCTTTAATCCAGCAACTATACTCAAAATAAGGTTTTATTTACTTTTATTATTAGTTTTTTGTTTTGGGGGGGGTCACACCCAGCAGTGCTCAGGACTTACACTCAGGGATCACGGCTGGCAGGGCTCAGAGGACCATGTGAGAAGCTGGAATAGAACACAGCAAGTGCTTTACCTTACTATTCACTATTGCTGCAGCCCTGAAACAAGATTTTATAGTGGTCAATTCTATCATAACACACACCACCAGGCTTTTGAGGGTATTAGCCACAGCAGCAAACGTTGGAGGCCAAAAATTCTGACAGGAGTGGAAGTGATAGCACAGTGGGGAGGGCGTTTGCCTTGCATGTGGTTGACCTGGGTTCTATTACCCAGATCTCATATGGTCCCCCCAGCACTACCAGTAGTAATTTCCTAGTACAGAGCCAGGAGTAGCCCCTGAGCATCGCTGGGTGTGACACCCTCCCCCCCACAAAAAGAAGAAAAATCAAATGTTCCAGCAGAGCTTAAATAGGCACCCAGAAATGGTTAAATACAGAATAGTACCACACCACTAAGGGCAAAGGCAATGATGTGTGTCTGATGCCACCGTGTCACCATAGGCAGGCTGCCCAGCGCCAGGGAAACATGGACTCGCCTAAGAGTGAGACAGGCTTGGGTCTGAGTTCAGCTCTACGGTCTCCTGGTTCTGGCGCCCTCTGAGTTCCCTTTCTCCCAAAGACTTGTTTTTCACATCTGTCTGTTATGCGGGGCAGGGGTATGGTAGGGGAGATGTATGTAAAACAGGACCTGAGTGACTGAGAGGTTGTTCTTTGGGCCGACCGCAGGCTTCGCACACAGGAAACCCAGGTTCAATTCCCAGCACTGCATGGCCCCTCAGAAACACTGGGAGTGGCTCCTGCCCCCAGCAAGGGCCTGGCGCCACAAGATGTGGCCTGAAAAAAACAATATGAATGGAAGAAAACAGAGAGGCATGGTGGTGGGGGGGGGGGGCAGCGAGGGCTGGGGGGATGGTCCAGAGAGATAGTACAGCTGGGAGGGCATTTGCCTTGCATACAGCTGACCCAGGTTTGCCACCTGGCACCCCATAAAGTCTCTTGGGCCCTACCAGAAGTGATTCCTGAGTAGAATTAGGAGTAAGCCCTGAGCACTGCTGGATGTCACCCAAGAACCTGACCAAAACCAACCAACCCAAAAAAAGGCTTTGGAGGGCCTGAAGTAGTCCAGAGGTAGGCCTTTGCCTTCCATGTGACTGAGCCGGGTTCAATCCCCGGCACCTCATAGGTCCCCTGAGCACTGCCAGGAGTGATCCCCGAGCAGAGAGCCAGGAGTAAGACGTGAACACCGCTGGGTATGACCCAAGAACCAAACTCCCCCTTCCCCCCTCCCCCCCAAAAAAGATGCTCTGGAAACAAAGAAAGCCTATCATGTCTACGTCTGTGAAAACACTCACAAGCTTCAGGGGAACCCACAAATATTGACATACATACATACAGACAGACAGACTGACATACACACACAGTCTCTCTGCTCCTCCCATCAACCCTGCTCTAGGCACCCTCCCACCTGACCGAACTGCTTTGTGCTGTCAGCTTGGAGAACTAAGAGGGTGAAAGGGCCATAACCTAAGTCTGTCGCCACGGCCCGAGCCCAGGCTTTGCTGTCAGAGTAGCTGCAGAAGGAAACCAGGCACCAGTGCCCGAGGAATAGAGAACAGGGCTGGAGTTAGGAGACTTCGACCATCTGTTCCATGGCTCCTTAAAATAATGCCCGTTCAGGTTTGAGTGGTGGTGGAAAAATTCAAAATAATGGTAGTGGGAAGGTGTAATGGTGATGGGATGGTGTTGAAATACTGAGTATGATCCATTAATGTGAACAACTTTGTGAAAATAAAAAATTAAAAAATAATAATGCCTGGGGCTGGAGTGATAGCACAGCGGGTAGGGTGTTAGCCTTGCACTCGGCCGACCCAGGTTCGAGTCCTAGCATCCCCTATGTACCCTGAGCACTGCCAGGAGTAATTCCTAAGTGCATAGCTATGAGTAACCCCTGTGTATCACTGGGTGTGACCTAAAAAGCAAAATAATAATAATAATAATAGCACTATCCTCCCGTTATTCATCGATTTGCTCAAACTGGCACCAGTAACGTCTCCACTGTGAGACTTGTTACTATTTTTGCCATATTGAATACGCCACGGGGAGCTTGCCAGGCTCTGCCGTGCGGGCGGGATACTCTCAGTAGCTTGCCGGGCTCTCTGAGAGAGATGGAGGAATTGAACCCAGGTCGGCTGTGTGCAAGGCAAACGTCCTACCTGCTGTGCGATCACTCCAGCCCAATAATAATAATAATAATAATAATAATGCCCGTTAGAGGCTGGAGAGTTAGCACAGTGGGTAGGGCGCTCATCTTGCACATGACTGACCCAGGTTCAATCCCTGGCACAATATATGGTCCTTGGAGCACTGCCAGGAGGGATTCCTGAGCACAGATGCAGGAGGAACCCCTGAGCATTGCCTGGTATGGCCCTAAAAAAAAAAAAAACAGAAAAGAAAAAAAAGGAGAAGAAGAGTACTGCCTGTTCTAATAAAATTTATTATGTATTATTATTTTTTCGAACCCGGCTCTGCCGGGCCAACCGCGCACAAGGCAAATGCCCTATCGCTGTGCTATCGCTTGGGTTCGATTCCTCGGTCCCTCTCAGAGAGCCCGGCAAGCCACTGAGAGTATCTCGCTCGCACGGCAAAGCATGGCAAGCTACCTGTGACGTATTTGATATGCCAAACACAGTAACAAGAAGTCTCACAATGGAGACGTTACTGGGCCCGCTTGAGCAAATCGATGAACAATGGGAGGACAGTGAACAGTGGATTATTTTTTTGAATACAATTTAAAAACCATTTCTAGAGTCAGAGAGATAGTTCAATGGGTTGCATACAGGCCTTGCATGTGGAAGACTAGGGTTCCACCCCTGCACTACATGGTCCCGAGTACTTCCCCTGGAGGGACTCCCAAGCAGTGTGGATAGTATGTGAGCACTGCTGGGTGCGGGCCAACCCCACCATTCCTTAGAATGCAATTGGAGCTGTGGGTGTAGCTCAGTAGCAGGACATTCACCTTGTACGGGTGAGGCCCTGGGTTTGATCCCTGGCACTGAAAATATTTCTGAAGGGTTGGGGAGACAACTCTGTCATTGACTATTATAAAGGCAGCCTTTGAGTTCAATTCCTGGCACCAAAAAAGTAACAGAACATTATGTGTGTGTGTGTGTGTGTGTGTGTGTGTGTGTGTGTGTGTAGGGGGTGGGGGCGGGGGGTAGTGTTTGTTGAACCACATCTTGCGGTACTCAGATCACTCCTGGCGATGTTCAGGGGACCATATATGGGGCCAAGGATAAAATGAAGGCCTGCTGTGTGCAACGCAGGTATCTATCTTTTAGGCCCACAAATAACTCTTTTTGGGGGGAGGCAAGAGTTAAGTCATGTCTGGAGGTGCTCAGGACTTACTCCTGGGCCTGTGCTCAGGGAATATTTCTGGTGGTACTTGGAACCATGTGTGGTGCCAGAGATTGAACCCAGATCAACATGCAAAAAAGGCAAGCCCCCTCCCACCATACAATTCCTCAAATAGCTTTTTAAACTAAGATTTCAAATGTGAAGTGTTAAAAATTCTCTCTTCTTCTAGAAATCTGTTTTGTTTGTTTGGGGGCCACACCCAGAGGGATTTAGAGTTTACTCCTGGTTGGGGACTCAGAGATTAGTCCTGACTGGCTCAAGGGACCATGCCCTACCCTCTGTACTATCACTCTAACCTCTAAGGCTCTTTTCTATAGGGTATGTGTGTGTGTGTGGGAGGGGGACCTGCAAGGGTCTACACCCAGCATTGCTCAGGGATTATTTTTGGTTCTGTACTCAGGATTTACACCTGGTGGTGCTTGGGGACATATGGGATGTCTGGGATCTAGCCTGGGTCAGCCTCTTGCAAGGCAAGCACTCTCCTCACTGTACTATCACTCCAACAGGAATCTCTTATTTCTGTTGACCCAACCAACTGCCCCATCAGCTAAGCCCTGGAACTGCTGTGCTGGCAGCCCCTAGGTGTTCCTCCAGGACGCCCAGAGGGTCTGAACATGTGATAAGCCTGAGGCCCCAGGTCAAATCCTGGAGGCAGGCCCTGGGGAGGTTGTGCTGGGTCTGACCTGCCCGTCTCTGTGTTGCCTCCTAGTGATGCAGATGAAGCAGAAACGGGGACACAGGTCTCTGTTAGTTACTTTGCGGTTCCCAGGTTCTTCAATATTTTCAAGAATGAAAATACTGAGTAATAAAGATGCTCAGACTCAGAGTTGCAAAGTAGAAAAGTTTATTGGAAAGTAGAAGAGAAGAAAAGGAGCTCTACAGTGGGGAGGAACTTAGTATAGGGCTAAGTTAAAAGTCTTGCATAGGCCTTTATAAAGGCCCTTTCTTATCAACCGACAAGTATTACAGACAATGCAGGTAATCTGCAGGCTGGTCTGGCTGGTTTGAGTCTTCTGACCATCTGCCTCAGGTATTTCATTTTCTTTCTTTTTTTTTTCCTTTTGGGGTCACACCCAGTAATGCTCAGGGATTACTCCTGGCTTTGCATTCAATTACTCCTGGCAGTGCTCAGGGGACCATATGGGATGCCGGGGATCGAACCTGGGTTGGCCGCGTGCAAGGCAAATGCCCTACCCGCTGTGCTATCGTTCCGGCCCCAATATTCCATTTTCTTAGTTTCCCAGTGAGCCTAAACTCTGGGGCAGGATTTTATGACGAACAGTTGCTAACTCCTTGTTTACTCAGAAAAGCCCAGGAAGTTGTAGGGAGTCAAAAATGTAGGATGTGCCAGCCAAAAGCGGGACTGCTCACAGCAGCTGGCAAGAGTAAACAGGCTTCCTCTTTCACTAGCCCCGGGGAAACTGAGTCAAACCTGTCTGAACTTTCTTTCCAGAGTTCCCTCCCAACCGGAGTGCTCTGGGCACCTGCAGGTCTAAAACAGTCCTTCGAGGTTTAAACCCTCCCTTCACAGACTGGGATCTCTTCCAGGTCTGATTCACTGTGTTCGCTGCACTTCTCAGGGCAAAGGCACTAAAATCCCGCCCCGCCGCCCCACCCCAACGTATCCGGCCAACACCGCTGACGAGGCTGGACTCGAACTTGAATCCTCGGGAGTCAATCGCTCCTCCACTGCCCTCCCTCACCAAAAAAAAAAAAAAAAAAAAAAAATCGAGCGCTGCGCAAGCGCACTAGAGTGCCGTCGCCGCGCCCACCCGCCCGCCTCGCCGCGGCCGCCCGCATGCGCGCTGAGGCCAACCACCTCCAACCGCGCACGCTCAGTTCACGTTCTCGTGCGCTCAGCCCGCGGCGCATGCGCAGGGTCAGCAGCCGGCAGAACCCGATCTCGACTAGGTACCGCGATATCTCCTCCTTCCAGCAGACCTTCCTTGAGGGCCGCTTCCGGGAGACTAACGACCGGTTCCGGAGTGGCCGGTGTCCGCTTTCTCCTTCTTACTTCTCCGTTCCGAGTACCCTGAACCCCATTTCCAGGCTGGTGGCCTAAGGTGGAACCTCCCCGCCCCCACTCCGTTACGGAGAGCGCGCGCTGCGCCCGAGAGCCAATCAGTCACCGCCTGAGGTAAGGAGGCTCGCGAGCCCGCCCGAGACGCGCGCCCCGGGGCGGAGCCACGGGGGCGGGGCCGCAGGGGGCGGGGCGGGGCCGCGGAGGCCAGTCTTGCCGTGGCCCCGCCCCTTCCGACTGTTGAACTGTCTCGCAGAGAGAGTGCGGAACTGTGGGGGGAACCCGGAGCAGCTGATTGAGAGAACCGGTGGGTTGGAGGGGGCTGATTAGGTGTCAGTAGAAAGTTCAGTTGCATCTTAGCCGGTGGGACCTGTGACCTGGCCGCTGATGCCTGCGAAGCCCCTTCCAGTAACGACTGGGACCGCTCTCTAGCCGCTGTCATTAGAAACTGAAATTCGGGCTGGGAGATTCCCTGTCACGTGGGAAGGCCCCTGAGAATTAAACCGGCTCCTAAGTGCTGGGGGGTGGGGTGGGGGAAACATGGAAGAACCCATAAATAGACCGGGCCTGGGCTGGAAGGTTGAACACGGGGCCAGAAATGAGGCCGCACCCTACATAATATGCTGGTTAGATACTCAGATTCGTGGAGCGCCGCAGAAGGGGTGTTAGCGAAGATGCGGAAAGGGCAGGGGAAGCCCCCTGGAGGGAAGTGGACTTCTGCGAGGTTACTAGGGAGTCCTGTAAATAAGCACTTTTTATTTTGGGGGTTTGTTTTGGGCCAAACCCTGTGATGTGGGTTTACTCCTGGCTCTACACTCAAGAATCGCTCTTGACATCGCTTGGGGGACCATATGATATGCTGGTGATCCAGCCTGTGTCAGCAGTGTGCAAGACACCTTACCTGCTCTACTGTCTCTTCTGCTCTATTTTTGGCTTTTTGGCTACATCCAGCAGTGCACACTCCTGGAGGGCTCAGGGGAGCGTATTTGCATTGCCCTGGGTCAGATGTGTGCATGGCAAACGCCCTACCTGCTGTATTATCTCTCTGACCCCTACACACTTTTTATCTATTTTCATTTTTCCCTGCTGGGAATTGAAGGCCTCAGGCCCGCAAGGCAAGTGTTGCATCACTGGGCATCCCCAATGAACACTTGAAGTAGATTATCTTTTTATATTTGGGGCGGGCAGGAAGCTTGAACCCAAAGGATCCTGGATGCAGCATTTGAGATCCCCAATTTAATATAATTTTTTATTTTACGTTTTTGAGCCACACCCGGTGGGGCTCAGGCCTTGTTTCTGGTGGGATGCTGGGAATTGAATCTAGTCAGCTGCTTGCAAGGCAAGGATCCCAATCTCCCTTCCCACTGTACTATTTGTCTTTTCCTGGAGGTCCCCAAATTGCATATCAGTGTACTCTTTTAAGTTTGGGGGAGCTTTCTCTGAGGGGCTTTGGACAAGTCTCAGAATCACGTGCAAATGAACCCACTTGCTTGAGATGGATTCTGCTGGAAAGGCCTGGACAGAGATTCATTCTGCAGGGATCCCATCTGGTCCCCCAAGCACTTCCAGGAGTAATTACTGAGTGCAGAGCCAGGAGTTACCCAACAACTGAAAAAAAAAATCTGTGGGGGCAGAGCCCCCATGAATTAGAATCAGAGCATGAGAGAGTTCCCATCATCACTTGGCAAGGCTGGGCATGGCGGGTGGGGGGGGGGGGGGTTTGTCCCAGAGGCTCAGCAATGAATCAACTGCATGCTGGCCTATCCTCCGTCCATGGTGACTGTCCTCAGAGCAGTTTGTGTAACGGGGGAGAGACGTGGCATAGAGCCCGGAGCATTGGGGCCAGAGTAATAAACAGTACAGTAGGTAAAGCACTTGCTTTGCATGTGGGCGATCCAGATTAAATCCCTAGTGCCCCCTTATGGTCTCCTGAGCCCTGCCAGGAGTGAGCTCAGAGCTCTTCCAGGTGTGGCCCAAAATCAAAACACAGGAGCAAGACAAACTCCTGCCTGGCTGGTGAAATCATACTTGTATCCTGTAAACCAATACTTGGGTTCCAGAGACAGTCTGTGTGGGGTGGGTGGTGGTGGTGGAGGGGGTTTAGAGAATGACTCTGTAAGCACTTCCTGTTCAAGAGCTGGAGGAATAATTGTAGATGTCACTGCCCATCCCTTTTCCTCCATTAGTCCCTGCAGAGGGCTGCTGGAGACGGTTTGCAGGCTAGACTGACAGGCAGAAGGAAGCTCCGATCGGATGCCTAGGCTGCCATGTGCCCAGTGAGCCTGAACATACCTCCTACATCTTGCCAGCAGTTAAGTGCTCAGAGACCACTCTGAGAGGTGTGTGAACAAACAGGCTGGCAACTCCAGACACTAGACAGCAACTTGGGGAGTGGGCCATATAGGGACTTTTTATAGCACCTTGGATAAGGGAAACACTGATAAGGCCGGTCTAGCAGGAACAGGAGGGAAATGGAAGCTCGGATGTGAACGGGCACCCGATGTTGGGGTCCCACTTTCCCCGATGCTGCTGAAGGGCCTGGAGAGATGAGCACCCAGGACTGTCTGTGAGGAGTTGGCTGCTTCGGGGTCTTCGTTTTGGAGACCACACCCAGTGGTGCTCAGGACTTATTTCTTGCTCTGCATTGAGGAGTCATTCATGATTGCTCTCGGGGGTCTTTCTGGGGTGCTGACGATTGAAACTGGGTTGGCTGTAGTACAAGGCAAGCGCCCGCCTCACTGTCCTGTTTCTAGCCCAAAGTCTCTTCTTTATTTGACACTTTACCTCCCCCCCCCATTGTATTTATGTTAGGATAAAGTGATTACTGGTAGGAAATGGCTCAGGCTGCAAGTTTTTCTTTTTTTTTTTTTTTTGCTTTTTGGGTCACACCTGGCAATGCTCAGGGGTTACTCCTGGCTCATGCACTCAGGAATTACTCCTGGCGGTGCTCAGGGGACCATATGGGATGCTGGGAATCGAACCTGTGTTGGCCATATTGGCTGCGTGCGGGGCAAATGTCATACCCGCTGTGCTATCGCTCCAGCCCCTCAGGCTGCAAGTTTTAAAAAGTGTTTTTGTTGCTCTCTGCACGCAGAGGTAGTTCAAGGTAAATGACGGGACCCAGTATCTTGCTCTCCCAGCCAGCCTTCCACCATGCTGGCCTTCTCTTAACTGCCTCACAGCCCTCTCTGGCTGCTTGGGTTCCACCCATCATATCCACATTCCTCTCGGCCAGGAAGAGGAAAGGGCAAAAGTCATATGCCGGCCAGTGAAGGAAAGTTTTTAAAGCTGCCAAACACAGCACAGGTGTTATGTCATTGGCCAGGAAGGACCTCGGCACAGCGCCACACCGGACTGCAAGAAGAGCCGAGAATGGCCCTCTGTGGAGTGGGGGACCCAGCTCAGAGCTGTGTTTTTTGTTTGTGTTTAGGTTTGGGAGCTACACCCGGCGATGCCGAGGGTTTCCTCCTGGCAGCTCTGTGCTCAGGAATCGCTCCCAGCAGGCTTGGGAGACCTTGTGGGAAGCCGGGGCTCAAGCCCTGGTGGGCTGTGTGCAAGGCCAGCCCCCTACTCGCTGTGCTAGCGCCCTGGCCCTTCGGTTTTGAGTTTTGAAAGAGGGGCTAGAGTGATAGTACAGTGGGTAGGCCGTTTGCCTTGTACGCGGCTGACCTGGGTTCGATTCCCAGCATCCCATATGGTCCCCTGAGCACTGCCAGGAATAACTCCTGAGTGCAGAGCCAGGAGTAACCCCTGTGCATTGCCGGGTGTGACCCAAAAAGAAAAAAAAAAAAAGAATTTGAGTTTTGAAAGAATCACCATCAGGAGCCAGCCGGAAGCACTGCCCCGGCTCCAGTGCCTTCTTTGGAAAGAAAGTAACTTTGTAGTCTAGAAGCTTTGTAGTCTAGAGCCAGGCAAACCCCTTCACCCTTGCACTGGCCTTTCTTCACCCTCCAGGCCACCATGTCGGAATCTGGTCACAGTCAGCCAGGACTCTACGGCATAGAGCGGCGACGGCGGTGGAAGGAGCCGGGCCCTGGCGGCCCCCAGAACCTCTCCGGACCCGGTGGTCGGGAGAGAGACTACATTGCACCGTGGGAGAGAGAGCGGCGGGTGAGTGTGTCCACGGACACTGCCTGGGGGCCACTTGCTCCCCGTGCTCTGCTCCCCAGCTACCGTGTGCTGGGCCTTATCAGACCAAACCTTCCATCTGTGTGGAGAAGCGGGGAGAAGGGGTGCTCAGAGGCGGGGGAGCAAAGCGGGACACAGCCTGAGTAAGAGCAAATGTCATGTGGAACACCCAGTCCCAGGAGTGGGGGGAGGCCTTGAGGGGGGAGGGCTGGCCGGTGACCGCGGCCCCTGAGGAAGGAGGGAAGTACAAGGAAAGGTCAGAGGGAACGGGGGCCACTCAGTGTAGAACCCCGTAGACCTCGGAAGGACTGTGGGTTTCACAGAATTTGCTGCTGGGGGGCTGGTGTGGGAAGTGTCGGATCCTCCCGGCAACGGCGGATCCTCCCGGCAACGGCAGCGGCTTTTCCGAGCAACAGGCCCTATGCTTGCACTGTGGCCCTCTAGTGCCCCCCCGCCCCCCCGGAAGTCAGACCTTTGCTCAATCCCCTTTCCACCAGTATGGGGAAATGAACCTGGCGGGGAAAGCCTAGTCCATGCTGCCGGCGGGCCTGGGGGCCAGCCTGGCGCCTGCCTGGCCCCAGCCCTGGGCTCTCGGTCACTCCCGGGGCCTGGCCCACATCTGGCTGATTGCGGGGTGGAAGGAGATAGGAATTCAGACCAGGGTCTGTGCCACAAATCTGGGCAAACCTGAGGGCAAGTTGGTTCCCTCTGAGCGCTGCACTCCCCCCCCCCCCCCCCCCCGCCCCGGTGCCAACTGAGAATGCGCGCTCACTCGCTTGCTTGCTTGTTCCCTCCCTTCAACATCCAGCCTTTCTTCTGGGGACTGCTACCTTTTCCCATGCCCTTGGCTTCCTGCTCCAGCCAGTAGTTCCCCTATCACCATTTTGTTCCTACGCCTCTTGACCCACCACCAAACTTGTCACATCCTCTGTGCTCCTGCCTGGTCTCTCCTCCCAGCAGGCAGGTTAAATGTCCTCAGTCTCCGGGGAGTGACCTCTGCTGTGACTCAGGGAGCTGGAGAGGACAGGGGACCCCGAGCCAGTCAGCAGGTTGGGGGTGAGTCAGCAGAGTCTTGAAGGAGGAACAGGAGGAACTGGACCCTTGAGGCTTGGCTTAGCCCCCTGGGGAGGCCGGGGTGGGGTGGCAGGTGCTATGCCAGGTGTCAGAGGCCAACACAGATATTTTCCATGAGCCTCATGGTCACCCCAGTGGGAGGAATTTCCCCAGATCTGAGGAAGCCCACCACCGAGCTTCCTGGAAGCAAGGCCCGGTGTGAGCCCAGATCTGCCAGCCCCAGAGCCAGGCCCATCCAGGGCTGCTCCTCCAGCCCAAGCCCTGACTGGGCACGCTTTGCGCTGCCACCACCTGGCTGCCTGGGTTCAGACCCGTTGCTGACAGGCTGTGCGACTGCGGGCAGAGTACACAGCCTCTGGGTTCCAGCATTGGTGGGAGGATTGAAAAGATCATTCAGCTCACGCCTCCTTCCTGAGTCCGTACCCTCCCTAATGGCAGGATGGCAGCGAAGAGACAAGCGCGTCAGCGGTCATGCAGAAGACCCCCATCATCCTCTCAAAGCCTCCAGCGGAGCGGGTGAGTGGGAGGACCCCTTGGAAGCAGGGGTGGAGGGTGGAGGGCAGAGCGTGGAGGTTCTCCCGTTGACTGGCTCTGTGTCACGCCTGTAGTCGAAGCAGCCTGCGGCCCCGGCAGCCCCAGTTGCCCCGCCGGCTCCGGCCCCTCTGGAGAAGCCCATCGTCCTCATGAAGCCCCGGGAGGAGGCCAAGGGGCCTGCAGCCGTGTCCCCTGCTTCAACCCCTGAGGGCACTGCCCCACCGCCCCCGGCAGCCCCAGCGCCACCCAAGGGAGAGAAGGAAGGGCAGAGACCGACACAGCCTGTGTACCAGATCCAGAACCGGGGCATGGGCACCGCGGCCCCCGCAGCCATGGACCGTGAGTTGGGGCCAGGCAGGGTGTGGTGGGAAGCTGGCGCCCCCTCATGGCCTGACCCGGCCCTCACTGCCCTCTCTGTCCAGCCGTCGTGGGCCAGGCCAAGCTGCTACCCCCAGAACGCATGAAGCACAGCATCAAGCTGGTGGACGATCAGATGAACTGGTGCGACAGTGCCATCGAGGTAGGCAGGAGGGAGTCCTGCAGCCTCTCCCCCACCCCCCTCCCGTGTTTGCTGCCCCCAGGTGGGAGGGTTACAGCCAGGCGAGGTGGGAGCGGAGAGTGCTCGCCCTCCCGCAGCAGTGCTGCTGGCTCGAGTCCCCGTGGGTTTGGGCTCCGGCTCTCCTGGCATTCCATCATCCCCGGAGCCCTGGCACCTCCTGCATCCTCCCTCGACCAGCTGGGCCTTCTGCCTTAGCTGACCCAAATCCACTCTGTGCTGCGTGCTCCTGGAGGGTCCCCCTGTCTCCGGGTCGCACTTTGGCCTCCCCTGCCTGGGAGGGGGAGCCTTGTATCTCCCACAGTCCTGTCTAGCCTCTCCCGAGAGCGTTTTCTCTCCACTCCCACAGGGCATTGTGCCAGGCGTGAGTTGATTCCTGTCGTAAAGACAGCAACTGGGGAGCTTAAGAAGATGGATCGGGAACTGGAAAGATAATACAGCGGGAGGGCGTTTGCCTTGCATGCCACCAATCTAGGCTCTATCCCTAGCTGCCCATATGGTCCCAGAGCACCGCCAAGAGTGTTTCCTGAGTGCAGAGCCAGGAGTAACCCCTGAGCATTGCCCGGTGTGACCCCAAAGCCAAAAAAGGGAAAAAGAAAATGGTCATAGGTGCAGTGGTGCTGGCCTTGCATGTGGCTGACCAGGTTCCGTCTGCAGCACTGCATGGGCCCTGCTAGGAGTGACCCCTGAGCACTTCTAGGGGTGGCTCAACCCCTTTCCCATTCCCTCCACCCCCGAAAAGAGTTGGAAGCGCCTCTGTGCGGGCCCTGCCCCGCGGCCAGGCAGAGCTGTGCAGTGACAATGCACTCTGCACCTGTGCTCTTGCCTGCTGTCCACTGCCTACTGTGTCTATAACGACTGGGGAGCACTTTGTCGCCGAGCCCCGCAGTCAAGTAGCCCCTTACTCTGGCTCATCTAACTCAAGACCTGAATTTATTATATTTTATTTTTGGCTTTTTGGGGTCACACCCAGTGGTATTTAGAGGTTTCTCCTGCACTCAGGAATCACTCCTGGTGGTGCTCAGAGGATGATAAGGGATGTCAGGGATCCAACCTGGGTCAGCCTCCGGCAAGGCAAGAGCCCTCCCCACAGGACTCTCGCTCTGGCCCAAGGCTTGAATTTTCAGTTTTGACTGATTTTTAAATAGCCATGTGTGGCCAGTGCCCACCCTGTTGGACAGGACTGGGCTTGGGAGTTGTGGTGGCGCCCGTCTTGTCTGTGGTGCGGCTCAGGATGTGCTTAGGTGTTTCAAGCTCTCCTGATGGTCAGAAGAGCGGCAGCCCATGTTGGGGCTGGTCCCTCGCGGAGCAGAGAGCTTCCCGGAAGAACATTCCAGCAGTGCTGGTTACCCCGTCCTGTTGTCACGACGCCTCCCTCTGTCCAGTTTCAGCCCCACTGACTTCGTTCACCTCATACTCATGCCAGGCCCTCTTCTACTCTGGGACTGTCGTGAACGTTGTTCTTTACGCCCAGAACATTCACCCCACTTCATGCACGCACACACTGCCCTTTTCCCAGTGGAAGGGGTTGGAGCTCTCCCACCGTTGCTTCGTGTGTGACTGGACACATGAGCATGAGCCCACCTCGGTCCCGCCTCAGAGGCGGCGGGTCTGGAAGCTCCAGCTCTTGTGTGTCCCCACAGTACTTGTTGGACCAGACTGATGTGTTGGTGGTCGGCGTCCTGGGCCTCCAGGGGACAGGCAAGTCCATGGTCATGTCGCTGTTGTCAGCCAACACTCCCGAGGAGGACCAGAGGTGAGGGCGCGCCGGGCAGGGGTGCTGGGTGTTCCAAGGCTGTGGGAGTGGCCCCGCTGGTCTCCAGGCCTTACTCAGCTCACAGGTCTGCCCCGAGTGCGAGTGGATCACTGTGCCCAACACCTGCGGGGCTGGCAGCAGTACTCTGTCTTGGGCTCATAGCTTAGTCGGGGGAATTGGGATTGTTTGACCCAGTGGAAGATGAGAAGCCAGATGCAGGCTATGGGCACCCCACTGAGGGGACAGTGGAAAAGAGACGTGGTGGGGGGGCGAGCAGGAAGGGGCAGGGCCCCCAGCAGTGAGGACAGGCTGTCCCTGTTCCCCCAGCTTCCGTCTCTGGATCTACCCCGGGCTTCTTGCCCGAGGTTTCTCTTTCTTGCTCTTTTCATTTGTTAGCTTTGGGGCAGTGCTCAGTGCTCAGGGATCACTCCTGGTGGGGCTTGGGGGACCCATTGGGGTGCTGGAGATCAAGCCAGGTCTGCATGCAAGGCCAGCACCCTCCCCATGTCCACTCTCTGACCCTGCTTCCTTGCTGCTGCGTGCAGCCGCTGGTTCCTTGTATAACCCCACCCTCCCCACCCCTGCTTCTGCCCAGAGCTCTGCTCCTGCCGGCCACACACCCCTTGCGGCTGCCCTTGTTGAAGGTCACTGAGCCCTGCTTCCACTCTTCCCTCCATCTTCTCCCTTTCGGGGCACCCTGCCAGCCTCTCTCAGGCCGCCTCTCGGGCAGGTGTGCTGATGTCTGTGGCTGCCGTCTTACGGAACTGGCCTAGAATCACCCAGAAATGGAGATTGTTTGGCTTACTGCTCTGGGGGGCCTGGAGACCTCAGGATGTTGGTTTGGATGGAGGGTGGAAGCCACTTGCATCCACAGGAGAGTGGAAGGTCTCCCAGCCTCAGGCAGGGGCCAGTGCAGGGCCTGAGGCACCTGCCTGGCCCACAGCAACAGACCCTCTATCAGCATGGTCCCTAACACTGCATGGCCCCCAAGAGCAGATCCCCCAGTCCCCCCCAACCCCAGCACAGAGCTGGGAGGAGTTTCAAAAGCACCTGCAGTTGTGTCTGAAAAAAAAATAAAAGAGGAAGCCAGAGCCATAGTGCAGCAGGCAGGGCTCTTGCCTTGCATGCCGCCAACCTGGGTTCCGTCCTGTGCACCCAGTATAGCTTCCCGAGCCCCACTAAGAGTGATCCCTGAGCCAGGTATGACCCCAAAACCACAAATGCAAAACAGCAACTTTCCTGCTGTTATAGACTGAGAGAGCAGTTGCCCTGCCTGCATGGCAGAGGGACCGGTGAACTCTGTGGATGGGGCCCAGCCCAGCTGGCCTGCTCTGTTGTCAGACCCTCCCACCCATCCCCCTACCTCCCAGCATCAGTGGCGATGGAGGAGAGACTTGCCCCATGGGAGAACCAAGACATGGCCAGCTTCCTCTCCCCACGGGTGGAGGGTCTCCGGGCTGTGTGTGCTGGGCTTGGGGTCACCTCGTCACTGTGCCATCCGCTGCGGAGCGTCACATGCGCAGCCTCCCAGGAAAGCTGGGAAAGGACAAGGGCGTGGGGATCCAGGAGCAAGCGCAGAGGTCAGGGATTTGGGTCCCAGCCTCTAGCCCGTCAGGTGGGACCCCGTGGTGGCGGCAGCAGCCAGCAGATGGCGCCCACCGGCCCCTCTCCACAGGGCGTACGTTTTCCGGGCCCAGAGCGCCGAGATGAAGGAGCGGGGCGGCAACCAGACAAGCGGCATCGACTTCTTCATCACGCAGGAGCGGATCGTCTTCCTGGATACGCAGGTGCGGCCCCCGCCCCGGGCCAGTGTCTTCTGGGGCCTGAGTCTTTCCTCCCGGTTGGCCTCAGCCCCCCTGTCCCTGGAGTACACGGAAGCTCGAAAATCCTCCAGCACTGGGATTTGGAGAGGGTCCCTCCAGATCCAGATGCTCTGCCCTTTTCATTAATTTTGTGGTGCCGGGAACGCAGCCCAGGCCCTCACCCCAGGATGTCACCCCTGCAAGGCCGACACTCTGCCCCCACGCTGCCTACCAGCCCCAGCCAGGACAGACCCTCCGTCTGGACCTCGTCTGGGAGGGGCTGTCTGTGAGGCTCACCCTCTCAAGGCCTCTGGGGTGGTGGCCCAGCTTGTCACTGTCGTCCGCTTCCCCCGCCCCTTAACCCGGCCCCAGAACGGTGGGGCTCAGACACCCTCAGACACCCTGCCTAGCCATGGGCCTCTCCACACAGCTTGCGGCCTGGCCACTGTTTCACCCCTTTGGCCATTCCTCGTCCTGGCCCCTTTGTTCTTTTGTTTTTGGGCCGTCCCAACAGTGCTCAGGGCTTCCTCCTGACTCTACTTAGAGGCCACTTCTGGTGGGGCTTGGGGGGCCTTGGGGGATTTGGTGATCACGCGCCCTTCTGGCTGTGCCATCGCTCTGGCCCCTTGTCCTGTTCCCTTTGCCTGAAACTACCAACAGGCTGAGCTCCCGGGGCCTGAGATTGGTGGTCGCTACCCCTTGGACTCCTTCGTGTGCAGATCCTGCCTGCTCTGGGCAATGGGTGGGCCCATGTGTCAGGGCCTAGTGATGGCACTGACACATAAGCCCCGCCCCCTTAGCTGCAGAAGGACTCTCTGGCCTTTCTGCCTGGCTAATGCCATGTATGTTGCCTCCCTCTGGAAGCCCTCTCCTCCCTGAGGGTTCCCCCAGTACGGGGGCCGCCACTCCCAATTCCCCCCACTGCGGGAGCTCTTTAGTGGGGGGCCCCAGTGCCAGGGCTGTGTGGGTGCTCACTGGCTATGGGTGGAAGAAAGCTGTGGTCAGCCTGGGCAGGGCTGTCCTGTGGAGGGGACGAACCTACGGATATGTGAGGTTGGGCGGCAGCCCCCACTGGGGCAGACCCAAAGCCTCGAGAGACAGGTTGGACTCAGTGTGGTGCGTGGTCCGAGAAAGTGAAAAAGCGGAGGGAAGAGACTGTGGGCGCGGAGAGTGGCCCCAGGGTCTGGCACGACGTGGCAGGCAGCTAGGCAGGCTCTTTCCCCCTACACTCCCCCCCGGGCCTCCCAGCCCTGATTTCTGCCCTCCGAAGTGAGCTGCTCCCTGAGCCCCCGCATTCTCCTCCTCGCAGCATCCCTTTAAGAGAAGTTGCATGAGTCACTGCTGGTTTTTTTTTTGACACCTACAATGCAGATTTTACTTCCTCACCCATTTTCACACTAATCATTGTTTTTGACCTAAGTCATTATCTTCATCAAGTTTTGAAAGCATTAGCGAGGATGACAGAAGGGTCTGTAATGACATGACTCACTCAGCACGCGGAGTCTGGGGAGTCTGGCGGTGGCGGAGCCAGAGCTGGCCCAGGCCTCCGTCGAGAGACTCTCTCACCACCTCCGTCTGACTGGCACCATCCAGAACAGCAGGCGCCAGAGTGCTCACGCCTTCCCTTGTCCTGAAGCTGACAGGGGATGTGCCTCGGGTGGCCATGACCTGGGCTCTGCGGGTGTCACTGGCTGTGGGGGGAGGAAAGCCGGGGTCAGCCTGGGCAGGGCTGTCCTGCAGAGGGGACGAGCCAGCCCGCAGGCACCCCCACCCTCAACACCACCTTCTCTTCCCTGCTCAGCCCATCCTGAGCCCGTCCATCCTGGACCATCTCATCAACAATGACCGCAAGCTGCCCCCAGAGTACAACCTGCCGCACACCTATGTGGAGATGCAGGTGCGGCCCTGGGCCTGGCTGGGGAGGGGGGCTCCTTTCTGCTGACGAGAGAGCCCGGGGCCCCCTCTGCGGACCCTGCATCTCGAGGCATGAATGGGGGTGCAGGCTGCCCCTCGTGCCCTCACCGCTGTGTACCTCCCCCATGCAGTCCCTGCAGATTGCTGCCTTCCTCTTTACTGTGTGCCATGTGGTGATCGTCGTGCAGGACTGGTTCACAGACCTCAGTCTGTACAGGTGAGGGGGCAGGGTGGGAAGTCACTCAGCCTCACAGAACCCAGGGGGAACCGCGCACCCCGGTCCCCCCGATGCGGCCTCTGTGCCGTGTGATCTGCCACAGTGCCCCCCCACCTTCGCATAGACACCCCCACACAGCCCCTCGACGCCTTCCCGGTTCCACAGGCCCCACAGGCCGCCCCTCCTGCCCTTTTTATGCTGGGTCCAGCTCAGGTCCCCTCCCGGCCCTCTGCCTGCTGATGGCTAGTGTAGGTCTCTGTGGTATCTGGCCCTCCCTGAAGGTGAAGCGGCCCCTGGGGCCAGCCGCAGAGCAGACGGGCTTGAGGGGCTGCAGGGGAACCCTTCTCTTAACTGGGTAGGGTGAGCAGTGCAGGCTGAACTTTAGGTAGTGCAGCAGGAAGAGCAGGGCGACGCCACTGTCAGTTTGTCCAGACCTGTTGGCCCTCCAGCAGGGTTGAGTCCTGATGTGAGCCGTGATGGCGGGGCCATGGTCCAGGATGGGGATGAAGAGGGGGAGGGCAGCAGGGCGCAGTGTTCCATGACGAATGGACAGACTTCAGGGGCCCTCCAAGCTGGGTTCAGGGTGCCCCAGGCCACAGCCTGTGACTGGCAGCCCTGCCTGGGGCTTCGGGGCTCAGGCCCAATCGGGGGCGCCATCTGGTGCCAGCATCAGTCACAGCTCCCCTCTCCCCCCTCAGCTCTCCTGGTCCATCTCCACTTTTCACTCCATTTTTGCTGTGACCATAAAACTACAGTCTGTCTTATTTTTTTGATATTTTGATCATTTGGGGGCCACCTCCGGCGACACTCAGGAATTACTCCTGGTAGGGCATGGGTGACGATGATTCAGGGCACCAGGATCAAACCTATGTCAACCGCATTCAAGGCAGGCATCCTTGCTGCTGTCCCATCATTCTGGCCCCTACAGTCTTTTAAATAATGTAAACTCTGTTAAAAGTATTTTTTTTTGATGGGGGAGAGCATCAAACCCAGGACCTTGCACATGCAGAGCAAACGCTGAACTACTGGGTTACATCCCAGCCCCTTGTTGGTGTCGAGATGGCCTGGATGGGGCCAGGGCTGGTGATGTCACCCAGTTCTCCCTGAATTCCCCGGACATGTGAGACATCTGGCACGTCGGTGCCACTCTCTGAACGGGGCTGTTGCTCTCACCAGCCCTGCAGAGGCTGTGGGACGTGGGGCCAGGGCTGGAACACCTACCTGTCCCCGCATGCCCCCAGGTTCCTGCAGACGGCTGAGATGGTGAAGCCCTCCACCCCGTCCCCCAGCCACGAGCCGAGCAGCTCATCCGGCTCCGACGAAGGCACCGAGTACTACCCGCACCTGGGTGAGTGTCTGCGAACCCAGCCCACACAGCCTCTGCTCTTCCTGGGGTCACCTCAGGTCAGCCCTGGCCACTGTGGGGGTCACCCCGAGTCTGGCTGTGCTAGCTCAGAATAGGTGCCTCAGTGGCATGTGGTTGGTTCCCTGAGTGGGTGGATCCCAGTGTGAAGACCCTGAGGGGCCATGTCCCCCCTGCCCCGCAACAGCCCACACGTTGCTCCAGTCTCCGCTGGGCTCTCAGCATCCAGGCTCCTGCTCCTCCACCAACATCCTACCTGTCCCCTCCTCCTCCTGCCACCCATCACTCCTTCCCTGTCCCTCCTCCCTCCTACCTCCCTCACCCCTACTCCATCCCTTTCTCCCTCCCCCTTCACCCCTGCTCCATCCTTCTTCCCTCCTACTCCCCTCACCCCTGCACCATCCCTCTTCCCTCCCACCACCCCACCCCTGCCCTGTCTCTCCTGCTGCCTCTCGCCTCTTCCCTGTCTGTCCTCCCTCCTGCCCTCCTCACCCCTGCCCCATCCCTGTCCCTCCCCCAGTCTTTCTGCAGAACAAGGCTCGCCGAGAAGACTTCTGTCCCCGCAGGCTGAGGCAAATGCACCTCATGATTGACCAGCTCATGGCTCACTCCCACCTGCGCTACAAGGGTGAGGCTCTCCACACCCCTGCCACCTCCCGCTCCCCCCATGCCCCCCCACCCCCGGCTCACTGCCCAGTGCCACTCTGGGCTTGGTCCTGGGGTGCATGGGCGCAACTGACCCGACGCCCCTGCAGGCACCCTGTCCATGCTGCAGTGTGACATCTTTCCGGGGCTGCCGCCCGACTTTCTGGACTCAGAGGTCAACCTGTTCCTGGTGCCCTTCATGGACAATGAGACGGAGAGTGAAAACCCACCTAGAGCAGGTGGGTTCCCCGTGAGGGCAGTGCTGGCCTTCCAGCAGGGATTGGCCACGTCCCAGGCACTGGTTTCTGGCCCTGGAAGGACAGGAACAGCAGGACTAGGGGTTCTTGGGCTGCTGGGAGGCCCTTGGCTGGCGCCCCCTGATCTCCCCGCACCCCCAGGCCCTGGCTCCAGCCCACTCTTCTCCCTGCTGCCTGGGTACCGCGGACACCCGAGTTTCCAGTCGTTGGTGAGCAAGCTCCGCAGCCAGGTGATGTCCATGGCCCGGCCGCAGCTCTCGCACACCATCCTCACCGAGAAGAATTGGTAGGAGCCCCCGGAGGGCGGGAGGCGGGGCGGGGGTCGTGTGAGGGTCAGGGCCCAGTTCCTGTCCTGGCTGGACACCCACATTGCTGCTGGGGACGGTCTGATCCTTGTGGGAAACTTGTTTTATTTCGGTTTTTAGATCACACCTGCCGGTTCTCAGGGCTCACTCCTGGCAGGGCTCGGGGGACCATACGGGGTGTTGGGATCAAACTCAGGTTGGCGAGCACTTCCTTGTTGTTTTCTCGCTCCGACTCATGGGGAATTTGGAGGGGGAATGTCACTGGGGTACCACTGTGGTGGGTGTCAGTGATGCGTGAGCAGAGGGACTACGAGCCGAGTCCCAGAGCACACAGGGCTGCAGTGTGTGCCCACAGGGATGGTCGCACACTGCCAGATGTAGCCCAGGTGGCCCCTACACTGCCAGGGAGCTCTGGAAGAAAAGGGGGGGGGGGTGCTAAAGCAGCTCAGTGAGCCTGCATGCCCTGTGCGCCAGCTCTGGCCCACCCGGGGCAGCAGTGGCCCCTCCACATGGCCTCTGTTGGGCTCTGGGGTCATTGGCAACTGGGGTGGGGCATGTGGCAGGTGCCCACAAGTTGGGGCACCACTCAGTGTCACCGGGGCTGGGGAGGAGGAAGCAGGACAGTCTCGGAGCAGGTGGAGCCCCGGCCCATTAGGCCCAGCTGAGGGGAGGTCAGAGGTGGCTCGGGCCGGGGCACTCAGGGTGTCTCCCTTCCTCAGCCCAGCCAAGAGATGGGGTCCCGGGGCCAGGGCCAGGAGCACTGACCAGGCCTCTCCTCTCTCGTAGGTTCCACTACGCCGCCCGGATCTGGGATGGGGTGAAAAAGTCCTCAGCCCTGGCGGAGTACAGTCGCCTGCTGGCCTGAGGCTGGGCGCAGTGGCGTGCAGGGCGCCGATCGGGTCCCCAGTGGATGGTGAGGGAGCGCAGAGTCCTTCCCCGTGCGTGGGCAGGAGCACGGCCGCCGGCCTGACAGACGAGGACACGGACCAGGCAGGCCCCCGGGGCCCAGCCCTCGCTCTCGGGGAGCATTGTCCAGGGCGTGACACTGAGAGCTCAGACTAGGGCAGCACCTTCGGGGTCCCCAACCAGGCCCAGCTGGGGAGGCATCTGGATGGTCCCCAGCAGCCCAGCTTCAGCTTGACCTCTGTCTTCAGGGCCAGCAGCAGGCCTCGTGCCCCAGAGAGGTGGGCCTGGGGAGCGTGGGAGTGGACCCTCCATGTGCCTGTGCCTGCCTGAGCTGGCGCCTGCCCCACAAACCAGCCTCTCTCTGAGGCATCCTTACGGGCCAAGGCCTGGGAAGCAGATGGAAACAGTCTCTGCTGAGGTGGCCACCAGAGAAGGGGTGCTGATCCCGGCTCTTGCCTGGGGCGTGGGGGAGCAAATGCCTTGACTCCTCGTGTCCGCTCTCCCCGGTGAGCACTGGCCTGGTAGAATGCGGACTCACCGGGACAGATCGGCTCCGCTTAGACTGGTCGTAGGGTGGGGTCGTGGCACCGCCCCTTGGTCCTCAGTGCTGTGTGGGAGCCCCAGGCAACGAAGCCAAGCGTGTCCCCAAGGCCAGGTCTGTGCACTGTGGCCACATGCGTGCAGCCCGCCACCGCCGAAGATGGGAACTGGGCCTAGTAGGTGTTTTTGACAGGCTCTGCTTCCCCCAGAGAGGCGCCTGCTGGGGGGCTTTCCAGCAGGGAGAGGGTCTCCTGTGTGCTGATGGTAGCAACAAGCCTAGACTGGCCCCTGAGTACCACGGGGTGTGGCCAACAAACAAGGAAAATAAAGATGCGGCTTCCTTTGCATTGTCTCTTCCTTAAAAGTTTGAATTTCAGGGCTGGAGAGATAGTACAGCAGGTTCCATCCTGGCACCCCATATCATCCCCGAGCCCTGTCAAGAGCGATTTCATGAGCTGAGAGCCAGGAGTAAGCCCTGATCACTGACAGGTGTGGCCCAAAAACCAAACAAACTTTTAATTTCAGGGAGCCCAAGTGATAGTACAAGAGGGAGGGTGCTTCTCTTGCACACGGCCAATCTGGATTCAGACCCCAGCATCCCCTATGGTCCCCTGAGCGCCGCCAGGAATAATTCCCGAGTGGAGAGCCAGGAGTCAGCCCTGAGCATTGGCAGGTGTGACTCAAAAACAAAAGTTTTAACTTTAGGACCAGAGAAGGTAGTACAGTGGGGAGGGTCACCCGAGTACATTCAGGAGTGATTCCTGAGCACTGCCAGATGTGGCCCCCCAACAACTTTAAAAGCAGAACCAGCCCTTAACCCTTCGGTTCACCCTATACTCTGCGATACACCTTGACGTTATTGACTCAAGTATGACTGAGTATTCCCCAAAGAATTTCACCCATGTGCCCCAAAGTTGCCCCCACGACCAGTCATACCACTCGGCCCCGCCAGCCCATGCCTCAGGTCCTCTCGCCAAAGCAGTTTGGTCTCTTTCCTTCTCCCCAGCTGGGACCATCTCAGGGACTTTTAAGGTAAAGGCAGAGGACATTGGGGTGCAGAGGGGTCCCTGAGGAAAGCACTCGCATTCAAAGGAGACCTGACCAGCAGTGGACGGGAGGCTTCCCAGAGAGGGGTGGAGGTGGGGAGACTCAGGGCCAAAGACAACTGCCTCATGCTGATACCTGATGGGGGCCCCTGAAGGGTCCTCACAGCCAGTCAGAGCTGGGCTGTGTTCCCTGAGCCAGGCTGCAAGAACTCGTGCCCCCCCCCCCCCCCACACACACACACCTCCCAGACACTCTGTCCTGTGTCCCTTCTCCCTGCTTCCCTGGGGGACCGCTTGCCGCAGTGACGTGGACTCAGCAATAGGCAGGGCTAAAGACCTGGACACAAAAACACAAGACAGCCCGGCTCAGTTGCAGAATTTCCTTCCTGTGCCCTGCCAACTTGGGGACAGGCGGATGGACAGAGCTTGTGTCCTTTTCAGCCATTAGCAGCTGCCTCTCACCGGCGCAGTCTTAGGCCAGGCCCGGGGGCTGAAACCGTCCACGAGCTGGCAATGAGGGTGGTCAGAGGCCTGGAGCAGCGCCTTCCGCGCCCCCTGGACGGCTGTGTCCAGCGACAGGCGTAGCATCTGGTAGATTGTGCCAAAGGAGAAGCCCCGGGTGGTGAGGCAGCAGAGGAGGGGCACCTGGAGCAGCTCATGGGTAAAGGCCGAGGCCACCCCCGAGGTCTGGCCCAGTAGCTTGGCCACCTGCACCTCGGCCACCCCTGGGGAGCCTGTGTCCAGGCCCAGGCTGCGGTGGTAGCCTTGCAGGCAGCGGGTGAGCAGGGTGAGGTCACACTCCACGTCCTTGAGCCCCGGCACGGGGCTTTGTTTGGTGCTGCAGGCCACCAGGGCCACCAGCCAGATGTGCTGGCGCAGCGCCTCTGCCTTCCTCTCGATGATGCCCGTGGACACAGTGGGCATGGCCATCAGGAGCGCATGCCGCTTGTGGCCCATCAGCGCCTGCACCATGGCCTCCTGCAGCTGCGGGAAGTCGTAGTTGGCTAGCTGGAACGCAGAGATCAGGAAGACCCGGGGGTCCTTCAGGCCCTCTGCTGTGGGGGCAAGAGCACCGGTCAGTTGGTTTCCATGACAGCCCGTGGTGGCCTGAGTTAAGATCCCATATGGTCTCTGGCCAAAGCCTCAGGCTTCTCCTACGAGTAAGGTGCTAACTCGATCTAGCACCTGGGGACAGCTTAAAAGTGGTGTCTTGCCCGGGGGTCCCTGTGCCAGGTGCCCTCAGCCACCCCCCACAGCCTGTGCACTCTCTGCCCTTGCACACACACACAGGCCAACAGACCCTTTCCTGTCAAGGCAAGCGTGGCAGCAGGGCTGGGGAGGGCACATGGCCTTGGAAATCATCTCTGCATCAGAACTGAGGACATGACTTTGGTGGTCCCACAGCCCCTCGAACCTCCAGTATCAGATCAGCAGGCCCAACTGGCAGTCTCACCAGGAGTGGCCTCCAGACCTTCCTGAGCTTTGCTGGAGAACCACATCCCCAAGTCTTTAAAAAAGAAAGAGAAAAAAAACCTCCAAGGGGCCGGAGCAACAGTATGGCAGGTAAGACATTGGACTGGCATGCAGCCGACCCAAGTTCCATCTGCAGCACCCCGTATGGAGCCCTGAGCAGCACCAGGAATAATTCCTGAGCATAGAGCCAGAAGCATCGCCTGATGTGGCTCAGAAAAACAAAACTAACCCCCCAAAAGCAACTGACTGGCTTCAGGTCCCTGAGAAGTGCCAGCTCCCGGCTGTGGCAGGTATACCCACCTGGGGCCTGCCCCTCTGCCCGGTGCCATCTTGGGCCACCCTGCGTTCTCCCTCACCCCCACCCAGGAGCCTACCCCCCTCACCCTCCAGCCGCTTAGCACAGTCGTTCCAGATCTGGCTGAGCACGGCGTCCTCGGAGAAGGTGCTGGGGCGGCGGCTGCGCGAGGCGGCCACGTCCACGTCCACCTTGGAGCGGACGAGGCAGAAGTGCGTGCCCCGCTCCCCAAGTCGGCGGGCCAACTGGGCCAGGCTGTCAGGGAAGCAGCCAGCTGAGAGGAGGAGGAGCAGGTCATAGGGCTTCCGCAGCACCTGCTGGAGGTACTTGTCGGCCTGGAAGGAGGCGGGGCCGACGCCCGGCAAGTCCCAGATGACGACGTTGCGGTACTGAGGGTGAGGGTACGGGGTTGGGTCCACCTTCATTTCCACCACACTCGTCTCAGCCGAGTCGATGTCCTCGTCTCCCAGCCCTCGGAGGGCGTTTACCAAGGTCGACTTGCCCGAGCCTGGGCTTCCAGTAATGCCGATGTCCAGCTGGACGTTCTCTAGGGCCTGGAGGGTGGCCTGCAGCTTGGCGGCCACTGCAGGCAGTGACCCCGCCTCGAAAGTTTCCATCAGGACCCTAGCACTCATCGAGAACTCCAGCAGCTTGGACGGGCTGAGGCTGGGCGGGCAGACAGTGCTCTCCGGGGGCTGCCTGACCCCCAGGGTGCACTGTCCAGGGCCGGGTGACCTTCAATGGGGAAGGGGCATTCTCACCCAGGGCTTTTTCCCTTCTCCCTCCCCAGCGTGTCCCGACTGTTGTAGAATCACTAGGAATTGGGATGGGAGATGGAGTTAAGCGGTGTGGAGCATTTGCCTTGCAGGCGCGAAGCCCTGAGTCCTGTCCCCAGCACTGCCATGGGAATTAGAAAAAAGTACAACACACACCCCAGAGTATAACAAGATCGGGGCTCAGACCTGCAGCCATCATTGCTACCAGCTGCTCTCCCTGGAGGTGCCCCTCACCCCGTCTGGACACAGACGGCCTTTTAGTGGGGACAGCAGGCTGCAGCTTCAGGCTGTCTACCTCCTGCATGTGGACATTGCAAAAGGGGTTCAAGTCTCCTAGTCCTGACTTTGAAGTCTTGTTTTGTGGAGGGCCACACCCAGCAATGCTCAGGGCCGACTCCTGGCTCTATACCCAGGGATCACTCCTGTTTAAGAGGACCCTACGGGGTGCCGGGGATTGAACCTGGTTGGCCGCATGCCAGGTGAGCACCTTACCTGCTAAACTGTTGCTCCGGGCCCCAGTTCCCCTTTTTGGCATCTGCCGAGCCACGCGCCTGTGAGAGGCAGCGATGAAGGCCACCACGCCCCTCCCTAAGGCTCACTTGATTGACGCCTCCTTAGGACTGGCCACCCCAGTTTACGGACACCCACTTCACAGAGTGGAACCTGAGGCTTGGAGTTGGGGGATCATCTGCCTCTCTTTGACGGGGTGGGGGAGTTTGGGTCCCACCCCAGGTGCTCGCGGTGAAGGCACTCGCCGTGCCAGGGAGTGAACTGGGACCAACTGTGTGCACGGCAGGCGCCCTTGTCCCCCTGCCCTCTCTCCAGCCCCACCGCTGTTCTGATGTTTGGCCATGCCCTGCCGAGCCCTGCACAGCTCCGGGGCCTGGTGGGGTCAGGCCCCCAGCCCGCCCTGCCACGCCCTGGCCCACTGTCAGCACTGACTGGAGCTGGGGGCCCGGCACATCTTCCTTGCGGGCTGAGAATCCTTACCTGTGGCTTGCCCCCAGCCCTTTCTGTCCTGCTGTGGGGGGAAGGTTGTAGGCAGCCGGTGATGAGGGGCAGGCAGAGGCCATGGGGAGGACGTGGACTGGTGGCTGGTGGCCAGGCCTTGATCTTTTTTCTGTGGGTGCCACAGAAAGGTTTTGGGCTTTTGGGGGGAAGGGTGCACCTGGCAGTGCTCAGGGCTGACTCCTGGGTCTGTGCTCAGGGACCCTTCTGCGGTATCAGGGATCGAACCAGGGTTGGCTACCTGGCAAGCACGCACTTTCCCCCGGCACTAGAGAGTCCTTTGGGAACGGATCACGAAGGGGCCGTGTCCTGCACACTGGGTGGGGGGTGTCCTGTAGTTTCCCTGATCTGCTTGTGCCTCTACCCCCAGGGTGCAGAAAGACCTAGATGAAACCCAAGAATCCTTGTGGGGAAGCCTCCTGGAAGGAAGGGATCCCTTTGCCGAGCACTGAGCAGAGAGAACTGGCACTGTTTCATCTCCCAGATGAGGAAACCACCTTCCCAGAGCCCAGGGCAGGGTGCGGCTAGAACCAGCAGGGGCTCTGGAAAACTCCAGAGGGAGCACTGGGACAGGGATGGAGGGTGGGGGGGGGTCCACCTCACTGGATCCACCCTTTGGGGAACTCAAACTTCCCCTGATCCTTCTTGAGCCACGGTGACCTGGGTCAACTCTGTCCTATCCCCATGACTATCCATCATGACTCAGGTGAGAAGGGCGGGAACGAGTTTGTCAGACCTGGGGCCACCCCCCATACACACAAAGCTTGGAGTCCCAGGGATGCGTGAGCCAGATACCACCTCTCACCCAGAGGGTTCCTCGTGACCACTCCTGCCCATGCCCCCCACCCTTGGACACCACCAGTGCTCGTCCCCCAGCAGGGTGGCCCTGGGTCTCAGCATACAGCCCAGAGGGGCCAGCAGGGACACCCCAACCCCAATAACCTCCCGAGCCTGTCCTCGGGTGGATAGGAAGCACCCTCTGCCACTCTCTCCTCCATGCTCATGGACCGCCCCCCCCCGTCTTCCCTCACCGCTCCCCCTCCTGTCTTCTCCCCAATATTGTGCCCAGGGGGCCAGCAGAGGGGGTCGCAGTGCCCTCCCACCTCAGCCATCCTCACCCACCGCCACTCAGCCAGTGTCCTGACAGCTGTTTGGCCTGTTGCTAGGCACCATTGTGCCTGCCCCAGGCACCGATTGGTTGCCTGCCCCTCTGCCTTTGGGAGACTGGGGTTGTCAGGAAGGGCATGAGATTCAAACCCAACTCCACTCACCAGTCCCCCTTGTTCCCCTTGGCCCCAGGTCTTGACCAGAGAGTGAGAGAGAGATTCCAAGCATCCCTGGGGACCCCCCTACCCCAGACTTGTGTCTCCCTAGGTTTGTGGGGAGTTCACACCTGCCGTTCCCAGCAGTGCCAGGAAATAGAACCCAGGGCCGCTGCTTCAGTCCTTGAGCCAGTGCCTTACCACCTTCCTGAGATGATCTTTATGTTTTGAGGGAAGGCCACACCTGGCGGTGCTCAGGGACCCTTTGTGATGCCAGGGATTGAACCGGGGTCTGCCCCGTGCAAGGTCAGCACCCTCCCTACTGTCCCCTCTCTCGGTTCCTCTCACTCAGGGCTTCCCCACCTTCCTCTTTGCCTCACCTTGCCCCAGAGAGCACCAGCCCTCCCGCCTGCCGGCTATGTCCCCCTGCACAACCCCCCACAACCCCCTATTCTTGTGTTCACCACAGGAGCTGGTTTGGTTCATTCAGTCGGTTCGGTTTAAGGCTTGGCTGGGGGTGAAGGGGGGAAGCAGGAATTTCTCTATTTCTCTTCCGACAAGTCTCGCTTCTTCCAGCTGTCGAGAATGTACTTGAGGAGGAGGCCGAGCTTCCTGCGGGTGGAGAGCGGGGCGTCGTCGCTGCCCGCCTCCCCCAGGCTGTGCTTCTCCACGCCCACGTCGCCACCCGCCTCCAGGCTGACCTCGGAGGGGGCCTCGTCCTCCTCCAGGGCCTTGATGCGCACCCGCTGGGCGTCCTCGGCCATCTCGTTGAGGCAGCCCTGCAGCATGGCATAGACGGTGCCGAAGCTGATGCCGCTGGCCACCAGCGTGCCGAACACAGGGACGCCCTTCTCGAAGGCGCGTGCCACACGCATGGCCCCATCCGAGGAGCGGGCGTACAGCCGCAGCACGGTCTCGGGGTTCACCTCGATGGCCAGTGGGGAGCGGATGACGGAGCGCAGGTCACCCGCCTGTTTGCCCACCTGCTCAGCCAGCCTGGCCAGCGAGTCATCATCCAGGCCGAAGCTGCGGTGGTAGCCGCGCAGCGAGCGGACGAGTAGGGCGTCGTCGTAGGCGGCCGCCAGCCCTGGCACCGGCAGGGCCTGAATGACGCCCGACACCAGCGCCGTCTTGAGCACCTGCTCCTGGAGCATGTCCTTCTTCTTCTGCAGGGCCTCCAGGGAGATGTCGGGCAGCGAGAGCAGCCCCGCGTGGCGCCGGTGGGCAGGGAGGTCGTGCTCCCACGTGGACATGAGCAGCGGGAAGTCATAGCGCGAGGGCGAGAGGTTAGATACCAGGAAGATGCGGGGCTCAGCCACGCCTGCCGCCCGCAGCCGCTCCGCGCAGTGCTCGCGAATCTCCTGCAGGACCAGGCCCTCGCTGAAGACCGAGGGCCGCTGGCTGCGCGTGGCCGCCAGGTCCTCGTCCACCTTGGTGCGCACGAAGTAGAACTTCTTGCCCTGGCGCAGGATCTCGGAGGCCAGGCGGGTCTCCACGGCGCCGCAGCGACGCGGCGACACCAGCAGGAAGAAGTCGTAGCGGCCGAAGTCCACCTGCTTCAGGTACTTGTCGGCCGGGCAGCCCGGAGTGCCGGCCCCGGGCAGGTCCCACAGGGTCACGTCGGGGAACTGCGGGTGCGGGTAGGCGGATGGGTGCATGGTGGTCTCCACCACACCCGTGAGCGCCGCGCCCGGGTCCTCGGCCCCTAGGCCACGCAGCGCGTTGATGAGGGACGACTTGCCGGCGCCCGACTCGCCCGTCACCCCCACTTCCAGCCGAGTGGTCTCCGATGAGGCCAGCAGCTCCCGCAGGCGAGAGGCGGCCTGGGGGAGGTCGCCCGCCTCGAAGGCGCTGCGCAGGGCCTCGAGCTCTTCCTTGCCCATGAGGATGGTGGTTCCCTCCTCCCCGGGCACCGCGGGCAGCTTGGACGTCGCCATGGTCCCCCTGCGCTCAGAGAGCAGTGGGGAGTGGGAGAGTGTCCCGGCGGTCCTCAGCGTCTGTGGAGAAGGGGGGTTGAGGAGGGGTGCCGTGAGCATGGGGCAGCCCCTGCAGATCCCCGTCCTCTCCCCACACCTTAGTGTGCTCTCTTTTTTTGGGGGGGGGGGTATTGGGTCACACCCACCAGTGCTCCAGGAGTCACTCCTGGCTTTCTGCTTGGGACTCGATATGGTGCTGGGGATGGAAATAGGCTCGGCTGTGTGCAAGCCAAGTGCCCTCGCCCCCTTCCTGTCTCTCCACCCTCACCCCCTACCCCACAGGGCCGGTGCTTGTAAACCCAGGGGAGGAAGACTTGGGAGAGCCCCAGGCCAGGTTTGCTGTGTGGTCCTGGACAAGGAAAGTAACTCTCTGGACCTCATGGCTTCCTGGGGTGCCTTCCTCCCAGGGACAGAGGAGGAGTCTAGGAATGGGGCTCATTTTCGGGGTCACCTGGGGCTCCCGCACTTAGCTTCACGCTCTGCTGACACTAAGCTTGTTCTGATGGTTTCTGGGTTTGCAGCTGTGGGGCTGGAACCCAGAGCCTCACGTGCATGCCAGTCATCAGATCAGTGGAGCCTCATTTCCTGCCCCCTCTCCCTAGCTCTTTGACGGGGAGCAGGGAGCATAGTACTCACCCACCCACTTGGGCATGGGGTTGGGAATGGAGCTCAGAACTTCCCCCAGGCCAGGCCTGTGCTCGCCACCCTCACACACACCCAGATTCTTTGTCCCTGAGCCCCAGCAGTTACGCAGCCAGGCCTGCAAAGGCTGCGCTCTAGTCCAGCTTTTTTTGTTTTCTTTTTGGGTCACACCTGGCAATGCTCAGGGGTTACTCCTGTCTCTGCACTCAGGAATTACTCCTGGCGGTGCTCGGGGGGACCATATGGGATGCTGGGAATCGAACCCTGGTCAGCCACATGCATGGCAAACGCCCTACCCGCTGTGCTATCCCTCTAGCCCCACTGGTTCTTCTGGGGCGGGGGTCCCCCCATCCGCCACCTCCCTCCTCCAGTCTACTTCCTCAATGCACTTCCGGAGGCCCCGGGACTAACAGGGGCTCACGCGCCCGGGCCACCAGACTGGATGGGGATGTGGCTCACACCAGCACCAGTGAGCAGGACCCCTGAAGAGCTGGCCTCCCCTGCCCCATCCCTGCCCCCCACCCGCCCCAGGTAGGAGTCTGGGACCCTGGATGGGTCTCGGTGACAAGGGGGGCAGCCCAGAGGGCCGGGGATGGGGACTGGCCTGGCTGACTCCCCCACCCCCGGGGGAACTCACCTGCCCTGCGAGCTCTCCGTCTTCCCCCTCAGTCTCCCCGCTGGGGGGTCCCCGCTCACCCAGGCCCAGGCGCGTTGCTAGGACCCATTATGGCAGCCACGCGCAGCCTATTGGCCAGCCGGGCTGGGTGCAATAATGTGCTAGTGATGTCAGGGGGCGGGTCCCCAGGCCAGGCACCCCACCCCCTACTGTTCAGTGGGAGCAGAGTGACCCTCTAACCTGGGACTGACTCAAAACCCCATCCCCAGTCATCAAATCCCCTCCCATACCCCTCAGGAACCAACTCCCCAGTCTACAGCCTGACATCTGGGGAGGGTCACTGCCACTGCCAGTTGCCCCCCACCTGAGGACTGTGGCCATTTCTGCTCACCTGCTCACCCCAGGAGGTGGTGATTTAGCAGATACAGAGTTGGGGGGAGAGGTGGCAGCAGGGCTGCCCATCATGACAGCAGGGGGCACTCTACCCCTATTCTGAACGCCAGTGTCCAGGCTCTTCCCACCCACGGCCAGCCCTCACCCTCCTAGACACCTGTCTATTTCCTCTCTTCCTCCTCCTCCTCCTCCTCCTCCTCCTCCTCCTCCTCCTCCTCCTCCTCCTCCTCTTCCTCCCCCCCTCTTCTTCCCAGAAGGAGACGGGTGGGGGTGAGGGAAGGGACTTCCCAAGAAAAGAAAGGGAGCCAGGCAGGATGCCAGTGAATCCCTAAGAAACAGCAAACTGGAAAGAGGCAGGGTGGGGGAGGGGCCCAGATACAGGAACACCCCCACCCGGGCACAGTGGGGGACACCCTAACTTCCTCTCCACCCCAGCCCTCACTTCCTGTGTGCGTACCCCAAAGGCCGTGGTGCTCGCACCTACAAGCTGCCATGGCGAGCTCAGGCTCTCAGTCAGGAGCATTAGCCACAGAGCCCCCCTCCCCCCTCCCCCCACCCCCCATCTCCCTGCCGGACCTCCAAGTCCCTACAGCTCACAGGAGGGCAGCAGGGAGCGGCAGGATGGTGGGGGGACACACTCTCAGACACTCCCAGACCCCAAACTCTGCTCAGACTCTTCCCCCTGCCCACAAGTCGAAAGGACAGACCCTCAACTCAGAGGCTGTAGGTAGTTCCAGAAAAGCAAAAGTCAGACGCACACAGGGGCAGGAGTGATAGCACAGCAGGGAAGGTGTTTGCCTTGCACGCGGCAGCCCAGCAAACCTGGGTTGGATCCCGGGCATCCCATAGTGTCCCCTGAGCTCCTCCAGGAGTGATTCCTGAGTGTATGAGCCAGGAGTAACTCCTGAGCATCACCGGATGTGACCCTAAAACAACAAAGAAAGTCAGATCCCAGAGCTCAGAGATGATGGACTGACCGCCATGTCCAGTGGGACCCTTCTTCATTCTGCCCCTGAGGCCCAAGTGCTCAGCTGTCCACTGGAAGTGCATCTGAACTCTAGGGTTCTAGGCAGGAGGAAAGGAAGATGGCCTCAGCCCAGGGGGTGTGAGGCCACTGTCTGCACCGTGCCAAGGGCACTGCCAGAGAGACGCTGCACCTGACCGCCACCCTGCCATGCTCTTCCCCTCTCCCCAGACTCCATCCTGGGCACAGTAAGGGTGAGGCGAACAGACACTGCCCTCCAGGGTCATCAGATTCAGACCTAGTCACTGACTGGGGCAACCCCTCCCCTTTGGGGCAGCCACAGGGGGCTTCCTGGAGGAAGAGGCACCAGAGCTGAGCTCTGAGGGGTGGAGAAGAAAAGCAGTTGGCCTAGGAGGGGTATCCCAGTAAAGGGGGCTGTTGTGGCTGAGATGAGGCCTAAGAGAGCTCCCAGGTGGGACAGGGGTGCCTCCAGGCAGCAGATCCGGGGGACTGAGCACTCAGCACTGGCACAGCCCTAGCAGGGCTGTGGCTTCTTTCCTGGGGCTGGAACTGTCTTCTCTCACCTGTGCTCCCAGGAGCACAGCTAGGACCAGACCTGAGACTGTGTCTGAGAGAGAAGCGGCTCCTGCAGTCAGAGGCCCCTTTTCCCACCCGCAAACCCGCGGCCAACAGTGCTCCACCTCCCACCCCACCTCACATCTGTGTACGTGTTTTGCTGACAAGGTTGTTGAATGACCTAGAGCTCAAACATTCATTGTAGCTCTTATGTGTGCGTCCACTCATGTATCTGAGTGTGCGCATGTGTGTCCGTATGTGTGTGTCTGAGGAGGAAGGGAAGCCCCAACAAAGAGATAGGCTCAAACGTTCACTCTTTTTTTTTTTTTTTTTTGCTTTTTGGGTCACACCCGGCAATGCATAGGGGTTACTCCTGGCTTTGCACTCAGGAATTGTTCCTGGTGGTGCTCAGGAGACCATATGGAATGCTGGGAATCGAACCTGGGTCGGCTGTGTTCAAGACAAACACCCTACCTGCTATACTATCGCTCCAGCCCCACATTCACTCTTTTTTAAAATTTTTTTAAATTTGATTCCTCCTGGCTCTGTGCTCAGAAATTACTCTTGGCAGGGCATTGGGGACCATATGGGGTGCTGGGGATCGAACCCAGATTGTCTGTGTACAAGGCAAGTGCCCTCCCCACTGAAGTATCACTCCAGTCCTATGATTGCCTTTCTTTACAAGCTTATTTTCCTCATCTCTGCAGCCCTAAATGACACTGCTTCAATGCATGCTTCCTGAACACCTGTGCACCAGGTGCACACACTTCCTGGACACCTGTGCAACAGGTGCACGCACTTCTGGACACCTGTGCAACAGGCTCACTCACTTTCTGGACACCTGTGTGCAAAGTGCACGCACTTCCCGGACACCTGTGTACCAAATGCACACAATCTCTAGACACCTGTGTACCAGGTATACACACTTCCTGGACACTGGTGCGCCAGGTGCTCGTACATTTCCCAGGCACTGAGTTTACAGTCCTGTTAATGACAGGGTTTTGTGTATAACACATTCCGTCACTAGACCCTCTGCCAGTGTCCACTTTCCCCCACCATTGCCCGCCAATTCCTGTCCCTCCCCTTTCCTCTGGGTGATCAGCTTCCTACTGAAGTCTCTTTCTCAGTTTATTTCACCTTTGGGAATTTGTTACACTCCTGCTTTGTTTCTTTATATCTCACAGAGGAGAGGGATCATTTTTCACAGTTTCTTTTTTAACTGAATGCTATCTAAATAATTGCTAACTGACATTGGCATAAATAAAATGATAATATATTCTGTTTGGGTAGAAATAAAATAGATCAAATCAAAATAACATGTTTTCATAGAACCATTTTAGAATTTGTAAACTCTTTTTTTTCAGCTACTTTAGTGTTGAAAGGAAAATTTGGCATAAAAATAAACAAAGGAGCAATGGTACAATGGGGAGGATGCTGACCTCACACATGGACCACCCAGATTCGATCTCTGGCGTCACATGTGGTCTCCTGAGCCTGCCAGGGGACAGAGCCAGGAGTACAGAGTACAGAGCCAGGAGTAACCCCTGAACACCCCCGGGTGTGGCCCTTCCTCCCCCCCAAAAAAAAAACCCCACAAAATGTAAAAGATGCGTAATGACTTGTGGGACTGGCGTAGTCTTCAGCCCTCCAGACGCAAGGAAGCTCCCTGTCGTCTGTCATAGTGGGACAAAGAAAAAGGAAATGTCAGTTACCAAATTCACTGTGCACATCCGCCTGCAGCCCTTAGAATCAGGGGACCATGAGGCCATGACAAGG